GTTTATTAAATATAAAAGCATTGTTTAGCAATTGGGAAAAAATACTGCCAAATTGGGAAAAATTTAACTTTTTTTCAATTGGGAATGGGGCCGAATTTCGGCCCCTGAGAGGGTACTGATAAATCCCTGTTCTTATATATTTTTATGTAAAACTTTGATCCCCCATTGTGGCCCCACCCTACCCCCGGGGGTCAGGATTTGAACAAACTTGAATCTACACTACCTGAGGATGCTTCCATATAAATATGACCAATCATGGCTTTGCTGTTCTTAAGAAGAAGATTTTTAAAGATATTTTCCTATATATTTCTATGTAAAACTTTGATCCCCCATTGTGGCCCCACCCTACCCCCGGGGGTCAGGATTTGAACAAACTTGAATCTACACTACCTGAGGATGCTTCCATATAAATATGACCAATTATGGCTTTGCTGTTCTTAAGAAGATGATTTTTAAAGATATTTTCCTATATATTTCTATGCAAAACTTTGATCCCCCATTGTGGCCCCACCCTACCCCCGGGGGTCATGATATGAACGAACTTGAATCTACACTACCTGAGGATGTTTCTAAATATTTTAGTTTCATCTTTCCTGGCCCAGTGGTTCTTGAAAAGAAGATTTTTAAATGATGCCATTATTTTTTCACTTATTCCTAATTATCTCCCCTTGAAAGAGGGTGTGGCCCTTCATTTGAACAAACTTGAATCCCTTTCACCCAAGGATACTTTGTGACAAGTTTGGTTGAATATGGCCCAGTGGTTCTTGAGAAGAAGTCAAAAATGTGAAAAGTTTACAGACAGACAGACGGACAGACAGACAGACGGACGCCGGACAAAATGTGATCAGAATAGCTCACTTGAGCCTTCGGCTCAGGTGAGCTAAAAACTATGATATACGAGGGTCAGTCAATAAATAATGCAAAAGATCGTCTAAAAAAATAAGAAAAGTACGTAATACATATTCTTTAATAATAGTTACATACCATATTTGTTTAACATTAGTCCTGTAGTATCAGAGAAGTCAAGTATGTTTAATAAATACTGACATTGCACAATGGTCACCCACCAATATCACAGGTATTTGGGGTCTTGGTTTATAAATATGTATGTACCTTATTGATTTTTTGCATATCAATAAGGTACATACATATTTATAAACCAAGACCCCAAGTACCTGTGATATGGGTGGGTGACCATTGTGCAATGTCAGTATTTATTAAACATACTTGACTTCTCTGATACTACAGGACTAATGTTAAACAAATATGGTATGTAACTATTATTAAAGAATATGTATTACGTACTTTTCTTATTTTTCTCTGCAACCACTGGGTCAGGAATGGTGATTTCAAATTAATCCTTTAATAATTAGTTGTAACGTGTAACCTAAGGGTTCGTTTTCAAAGGATAAAGGGTCTTAATTTGGACAAGTATGAATAAAATTTTCCTTTGGCTCTACTTGGGTCTATGATTAACACTTGGAATTAATATTATTTACAATGATTATTGTTGATTTACTGGGTGACTTAAATTGTCCTGTGTTTTATTTTTTTTTATTTATTTATTTTTTTTTTGCACAGCGGTGAAACAAGCTGAGGTTCTTCCTTATTGTGTAACATAGAGCTGGCTGGGCACCTTGCACTGTGTTCCACAACCAAGTTCTAAGAGTACTCTATGTCTCACCCTTATTCAGGATTACTGCACCTTGTATCTCCCAATCCCCTGGTTTACTTTTCACTTGTGCTACTACTTCCACCCTAGCCTTTCAAACTTCTCTCACAATGGTCACTTCTATAATTACCTTCTTTTCTACTTTACAAGCTAGACTTAAGAATGACAGATACCATCTCTGCAGCCTTTTATATAGAAGAGGGCTATACCATCCAAACAGGGGTGAACAGGCTCCTGGACTATACCATTAGTCCTAGTTCCAGGAGTGTTTGGAAGGTTTTGGCCCATTGTATTACTCATACATAGTTATTCCTCAAATGTGGTCTTTTAATGACTTCCAACGTCAAGATGAGGCAAAATACAGATACAATGCTCTAATTTATTATATTACTTGTATCAATGAGAGAAGGAATAAAACAAGAGGCCCAAGGGCCTTAACGGTCACCTGAGTACAACAATTTAGAGGATCCATAAACTGATAAATGAAGCATTGTTGTCCAAAAGCAAGAAAAATAGTACATTAAGATCAACAAAATAATTGGTCTAGTATCTATCTATCTTTCCCCCATTCATCATTATTACCATGCAGACTTTTAACAAAATATCCATTTTAACCCCATATTATTACCTCTCACATTGGCCTCACTTGGCCTAATTGAAGAACATTTTAAAAGATAAGTTATTTTTGTTTCATTTTTTTTCATCTATTATTTCCAAGTCTACCTGATCATTAAAACTATGAAAGTACTTTTTGTATTATACAAGTAATGTTCTTGCATAATTCTCTTATTCTATTAACCTTTCAAATACATTATCTACAGTGATTAATTATCAAAGGTGAATGGCAAAGGGGAATAACTTCACTCAGTAGAATAGAGCCCTGGCCAGAACCAGAACACTCGACCAAATGGTCCAGATGTTTAAAATTCTGGTAAAAATACCCTTGTTTATTAAAACTTTTACTCTGTTTGCCTCCAATATGCCCAGGAGCAGAGAAGATTTTCAAAGAAATAATGCATTTTCACTATTTAACACAGCCCTACCCTAACACCAGAACCCATGACCCAAGGTCATGAAATTTACAAATTTGGAAGAGGTACCCTCCTCATCATAACTATGCAATTAGTTGAAGATTTTCAAAGAATTCACACATTTTCACTATATTATCAATAGAGCCCCCCCCCCCCTCTCAGAGAAACAACAGAACCCCTAGGACCACAAGTTTTAAAATTTTGTAAAAGCATCCTTGCTCATCATAACTATACACTTGTTTCTTTGCTTTATAACCAGGAGTAGAAAAAAAATATTTTGAAAGAAATTATGAATTTTCACTTTATAATCAGTAGAGCCCCCCCCCCCTTTTTTTTTACCAGAGCCCCTGACCCTGGGGCCATGAATTTCACAATTTTGGAAGAGGCATTCTTGCTTATCATAACCATGCACTTCCTTTGTTTAAATAATACCCAGGAGCAGAGAAGATTTTCAAAGAATTGATACATTTTCACTATATAATCAATAGAGCCCTGCCCCAACACCAGAACCCCTGATCCAGGGGCCATGAAATTCACAATTTCTGAAGAGGCACTCTTGCTTATCATATGTTCTTAGTTAGTTTCTTTAATACCCATGAGCAGAAGAGAAGATTTTCAAAGAAATAATGCATTTTCACTATATAATCAATAGAGCCTCCCCCCCCCCCTTTTCACCAGAACCCCTGAACCAGGGGCCATGAAATTCACAATTTCTGAAGAGGCACTCTTGCTCATCATAACTGTGTTCTTAGTTAGTTTCTTCAATACCCATGAGCAGAAGAGAAGATTTTCAAAGAAATAATGCATTTTCACTATATAATCAATAGAGCCCCCCCCCTTTTTTCACCAGAACCCCTGACCCTGGGGCCATGAAATTCACAATTTTGGAAGAGGCACTCTTGTTCATCATAACTATGTTCTTAGTTAGTTTATTTAATACCCAGGAGCAGAGAAGAAGATTTTCAAAGATTTAATGCATTTTCACTATATAATCAATAGAGCCCCGCCCTAACACCAGAACCCCTGACCCTGGGGCCATGAAATTCACAATTTTTGAAGAGGCACTCTTGCTCATCATAACTATGTTCTTAATTAGTTTGTTTAACACCCAGGAGCAGAGAAGAAGATTTTCAAAGATTTAATGCATTTTCACTATATAATCAATAGAGCCCCACCGTAACACCAGAACCCCTGACCCTGGGGCCATGAAATTCACAATTTTGAAAGAAGCACTCTTGTTCATCATAACTATGTATTTAGTTTATTTCGTACCCAGGAGCAGAGAAGATTTTCAAAGATTTAATGCATTTTCACTATATAATCAATAGAGCCCCACCCTGACACCAGAACCCCTGACCCTGGGGCCATGAAATTCAAAATTTTGGAAGAGGCACTCTTGCTCATTATAACTATGTACTTAATTAGTTTGTTTAACACCCAGGAGCAGAGAAGGAAGATTTTCAAAGATTTAATGCATTTTCACTATATAATCAGTAGAGCCCCACCCTAGCCCCAGAACCCCTGACCCTGGGGCCATGAAATTCACAATTTTGGAAGAGGCACTCTTGTTCATCATAACTATGTACTTAGTTACTTTATTTAATACCCAGGAGCAGAGGAGAAGACTTTAAAAGAATTAATGCATTTTCACTATATAATCAATAGAGCCGCCCTAACACCAGAACCCCTGACCCTGGGGCCATCAAATTCACAATTTCAGAAGAGGCATTCTTGCTTATCATAACTATTTACTTAGTTAGTTTATTCAATACCCAGGAGCAAAGAAGATTTTCAAAGAAATAATGCACTTTACTATATGATCTATAAAACCCCACCCTAGCCCCAGAACCCCTGACCCTGGGGCCATGAATTTCACAATTTTGGTAGAGGGCTCAATGCTTATTACAATCATGCCAACAGTTTGACTGCTTGATGTCCAGGAGTAAAGAAGAAGATTTTTAAAGATTGCATTAATTTTAGTGGTTTTTGCCCTACCCCTCCTGCCCCATGAGGGCAGGGACCATTAAATTCACAAATTTTGTCCCCCTTCACCCATAGATGCTTTATGCCAAATTTGGTTGAAATTGGTTGAGTGGTTTCAGAGAAGAAGCTGAAAATGTTCAAATGTTAACGCACTACGCACACTGACGGATGAAAACGGATAGCAATAGGTCACCTGAGTAAACTCAGGTGACCTAATAAAATATTAATTTCTATAATCCATAAATTATCTTTTTGAATGTCTCTATGTTTTAAAAACCAATCACACAACACTGCAGTAAATATGACCATCAAACAATAGTTAAAGTTATTTATTTTGTCAATCTATAGCAAATGAACAATGTTTTCTTTTCACTTCACATTTGCATTCCAGATATAACACTCATTTCTTTTTTAAAATTTCATAACAGAATTGAATACAGATGTGGAGAAGCCATTTAAACCCAGAACACTGTATAGTGTTTTAAAAGTTTCAAAGTAGAAAACAACAACAAAAAATTACCATAAATCACAAAAATCATATTTGTAAATAATTCATAGTACTATTTTTTAAACATGAAAAAAAAAATTCTGCAGTAAAAAGCAAGTTACACTGGGTGATTGATGTTTTTTTTTTTTGGAGGGGGATATAAATGCTGAGTCATCAATATTTCAGCCATTCAGCAGTAATAAATACATAATGGTACATAAATTCAAATAATACAGATACTCAATTAGCTTGTTTTTCACTAGATTACGTATATAGAATTTTATTATCATTGTTTTATTCAATTTTATAAAGGCCTCACAACATTTATACTGCATGTACACATATACATTTGCATTTTCTACATTTAAAACTATATACGTATACATCAAGAATTTGAGCAATATGGGTATTGCACCTTCAGAGATCACTAAATGTGGAATATCACAGTAAATATTAAATATATGAAGACAGGAATGTAAGGTAACTGCACAGTGTATACACTAGTATAACTACATATCAAACCAGGCATTGAAAGCATTGAATAATTTCAAAGATTAGATGTAACAGTATAAAAATTACAATGATACAATCATATATTAAATAAATATACATTGCTTGTAAAAATTGAAATCTCTTCTGGGAATGTGAATCTCTTAAATTAATTACTTATTCCTTCCAACTTAAACACCCATGCCCATCTACACGGCATTGAATTCCATGCAATAGGAGGAATTTTAATGTCAATGCCCCCTGAAGTACCCTTATTCCAGTCAAAGTTTCCCTGGTAACCTAAAAGAGATACTACAGTTGCTGTTGTTGTTTGAGGTGCCCCGAGGGTAAAAGTCCCTACTTTGGGCCATTGTAAAAGAACTGCATAAACTGTGTATCCATTAGAGGACTTCTTTTTTGTGTACCTATAAAACAGAAATAAATGTTTAGAAGAAGTAAATTTTCTGTACAAATTTATATCAGAATTGCGAACATCATGTTCTTTTGTCCAAGGAACAATGAATGTTTGAATCTAAAGTATAGGATGTTCAGACTGAAGAGTATTTTGCTTCAATTATTAAGACAATTAGAACCCCCCCCCCCATACTTAAGTCTGATTCTCAAAACTCACCAGACATCCTTAGTGACTGTATCATTTTGGTGTGACCAAGGCCTTGTTCCATAAATAGCATCACCATTCACATTTAGCCACTCCCCCATCTGTTTCAGCCTCTCTTCCATAATGGGGACAATTTTACCATAACTAGTGGGACCAACATTCATCAACATATTCCCTCCACAACTGACTGTTGTCACAAAGGTCTTGATTAACTCCTCAATAGATAGGTAGTTACTCAGTGGGGCATTTCTACGGTATCCCCAGGAGTAACGGTCTATCGTCATGGCATTTTCCCATTTGTGTGTTTGTAATTTTCCTAAAAAATGCATTAAAAGGCATGAATACATTTGAAGATAAACCAATAGTCAAAATCTACTGCATTCAGGTAAAAATGTTACTTCTGTTAAAAATTTAAAGAATAACAAGGTTTTTCTTTTTTACATAATATAATCCATTCTTAGAATTTTTCCTATTCTAAATTTGATTTACATGTACTAGATAGGACAATTAATCTGAATTTTATAACATACTCAAGACAGTTTTAAAAGTCAGACACATTTAACTGCACATGTATTTGATGCTTCCAGTTAAACAGTAGTCTAATAATACCTGAGTGGGGCTCTGAATATACACAACAAATATAGGTTGCCATACATATACTTGATGTTGCTATGACTAATTACCTGGATTGTACCTGTCAGAACAGGTGAAGAATCCCCCATGGTGACAGGAAATGTTTTTTCCCCATCTGTCATTGACTACTACTGTGTCCTTAACTGGGCTGTGTCCAGTACAAAATAATGTGTATCCATTAATAAAATCTAACTTATGTTATACGTCAGGAAAAAAACACAGTTGTCTTCATTGAATTTTGATTCATTTACATGTGACTGAGTACTACATATTGGTGTTTAAGTGATCACACCTTTAATTATTACTTATAATAACATATAAATACCTGTCATTATAAAGCCAGGCCAGGAATTCCTGTGATGTCCAATATTCTGCGGGGGCATCCCCATCTCCGTCTGACCACACCACTTCTGGTTTGTATTTCTGGACAATCTCGTACAGCTCAGGTAATGTCTTAGACTGGAAGATAAGAGAAATATTCATAAAATTTGTGTCTGTTGCTACTAGGAAACTCATGCCATTTACATAAATTTCTTCGTGTTGCAAATCTTTTAATCCTTTAACATGAAAATCTGGGGCCCGTTTTACAAAAGAACTTACGACTAAGACCAAAATTAATTCTGTTTATAACTTCCTGATTTACATTATATTGAAAATGGTTTTAATCTTTTTGAAGGATACATGGTAAGATATTTTCACACCAGCAATTTTAAACAAAATCATTAATTTTGCAAAATTTTACAATCAACTTAAGTTTTTGGTCTTGGTCACAAGTTTTTTTTGTAAAACGGGCCCCTGTTTTATTTATTACATGTATATATACAATGCTAAGCTTTCTGAACCTACATGTATAGATAATGCCAATTGATAATAATTTAACAGAATGAATTTCATTTCATCAATGAAAATACAATGTGAGTAGACCATGAATTAAAAAAATAAATAAATGTCATTTTCGTAAACACCTACATTTACAAACTTCTGAGTTTTGAAACCATTTGCTTCATCACTCTTATACAGCGGATGAAACCATTCAAACATTGAGTGATAGAGTCCAAACTTAAGTGAATAGTCCCTCACTGCATCTGCTAGGTCACCTAGGTAACATCAAATAAATTACAAAATCATACAGATTAATCATATAGTATATATGCAAGACATGAAATATTGCAGAAGTAGTGCTTGTTCCTACAGTTACTGTACATCATCAAAATTTTTGCAACACCTTATTTCATTTAGTATTTAAAAGGGACAAAATTTTCAGCATTTAAAAGGGACAAAAATTTCAGTATTTAGAAGGGACAAAATTTCAGGAATTTTGATTATTGTTGAATATAATCTATTAAAACACCTATATTTGTGAGCTAGGATAAAATTTTAGTGAGCAGAAAGTATCATGTAGTAGTGAGAAAAAGTAAAGTTTTCGTGAAATAAAAAGTGATTAACATTATTAACAGTATCGAAATAAAAAAATTGTTGCTATGCAAACAATCATATGAATTCAATGTAAACCAACATTATTCACAACAACTTTTACCCACATTTGATCTCAGTTAATTTAAAATTAACAAGATGTGTTTGTGAAACACTGATGCCCCCGTATGGCAGCTTATGGCGAAGGTTGAAGTTTCTCAAATGCAAGTCAAAATCCAGGCCTAAAGATAAAAAATGTTGGTACCCAAAGAAGGTCTTGTCTCGAGGAATATACCTGTGAAATTTGAAAGATTTAGCTGCAACTGTTCAAAAGTTAAGGCCAAGGTTAAAGTTTTTTAAAAGTAAGTAAAATGTCAAGGTCAAGGTCAAAGTGGTTGGTATCCAAAGGAAGGTCTTGTCACAAGGATTACATATGTGAAGTATGAAAGCCCTAGCACCAACCATTCAAAAGTTATGACCAAGGTTAAAGATTTTCGAAAGTAGGTCAAACTCCTACGTCAAGGTCAAAGGGTCAAAGTGGTTGGTATCTAAAGGAAGGTCTTGTCACAAGGATTACATATGTGAAGAATGAAAGCCCTAGAACCAACCATTGAAAAGTTATGACCAAAGTTAAAGTTTTTCAAAAGTAGGTCAAACTCCTATGTCAAGGTCAAAGGGTAAAAGAGGTTGAAGGTCTTATCAAAAGGAATATAGATATGAAGTTTGAAACCCCAAGCACCAACTGTTCAAAAGTTATGGCCAAGGTTAAAGTTTTTCAAAAGTAGGTCAAACTCCAAGGTCAAGGTCAAAAGGCCAAAGTTGTTGGTATCCAAAGGAAGGCCTTGTCACAAAGAATACACATGTGAAGTTTGAAACCCCAAGCACCAACTGTTCAGAAGTTATGGCCAAGGTTAAAGTCTCATAAAATTTTGCAAAAGTGGGTCAAACTCCAAGGTCAAGGTCAAAAGTTCAAATATGATGGTACCCAAAGAAAGGTCTTGTCACAAGGAATACACATGTGAAATATGAAAGTCATAGCTTCAACCAATCAAAAGTTATGGGCAAGGTTAAAGTTGACAACAGACAGACAAACGGACAAACAGACAGACAGGACAAAAACAATATACCCCCTGGATCTTTCAATCTGGGGGCATAAAAAGTCATCTGCCACTATCAATTATGATTAATGTTTGCAATGGTGAGGAAACATTCAAGGCAAAAACTGGGGTAAATAATTTTTGTAACACCTAGTACTACATTTAACTAGAAATATGTCCATAGGACATGAATGCCCTGCTGAGGGTATATTAGTAATACACCATGAAAATTTGTATTAGTGTATGAAATTTGATGAAAATATCTTGAATAGTTTCTTTAAAATTGAAATCTAAAAAGTTGGATATAGATGATAAATTTTCACAAAATTATGTATAAGTGTATATTTTTACATAAATATATCTTATTTTCTTTAAAACTAAGCAAAATGCAAATTTAAGAAAAGTGAGGTCAAGGTCACAGGAAAGTTCAAGGTCAAACATTTTTGATGCAGTTGAATAATTCTCACAAATATGTATCAGCATATTAAGTTTGATAAAAATATTATGAATGGTTTATTTAAAACTGAGCTAAACACTAATTTAAAACAAGATGTGTTTGTGAAACACTGATGCCCCCGTATGGCAGCTTATGGCGAAGGTTAAAGTTTCTTCAAATGCAAGTCAAAATCCAGGCCAAAAGATGAAAAATGTTGATACCCAAAGAAAGGTCTTGTCTCGAGGAATACACCTGTGAAATTTGAAAGACCTAGATACAACTGTTCAAAAGTATGGCGAAGGTTAAAGTTTTTTAATTAAAAGTCAAACATCAAGGTCAATGTCAAAGTGGTTGGTATCCAAAGGAAGGTCTTGTCACAAGGATTACATATGTGAAGTATGAAAGCTCTAGCATCAACCATTCAAAAGTTATGGCCAAGGTTAAAGTTTTTCAAAAGTAGGTCAAACTCCAAGGTCAAGGTCAAAAGGTCAAAGTGGTGGTTGGTATCCAAAGGAAGGCCTTGTCACAAGGAATACACATGTGAAGTTTGAAACCCTAAGCACCAACTGTTCAAAAGTAATGGCCAAGGTTAAAGTTTTTCAAAAGTAGGTCAAACTCCAAGGTCAAAAGGTCAAAGTTGTTGGCCTTGTCACAAAGAATACACATGTGAAGTTTGAAAACCCAAGCACCAACTGTTCAGAAGTTATGGCCAAGGTTAAAGTCTCATAAAATTTTGCAAAAGTAGGTCAAACTCCAAGGTCAAGGTCAAATATGATGGTACCCAAAGAAAGGTCTTGTCACAAGGAATAGACATGTGAAATATGAAAGTCATAGCTCCAACCAATCAAAAGTTATGGGCAAGGTTAAAGTTGACAACAGACAAACAGACAAACGGACAAACAGACAGACAGGACAAAAACAATATACCCCCGGGATCTTTCGATCCGGGGGCATAATAATAAATGAAGTTAAGGTCAAAGGAAAGGTCAAGATCAAAAAAATGTTGATGCAGTTGAAAAGCTTACATCAGTATGTATTAGCATATGAAGTTTGATAAAAATATTATGAATGGTCTCTTTAAAATTGAGTTATACACAAATTGATAAAGTGATGTCAAGGTCAAATGAAAGGTCAAGGTCAAAAATGTTGATGCAGTTGAATTGCTTACATCAGTATGTATCAGCATATGAAGTTTGACACTGATTTAAGAAAAGTGAGGTCAAAGGTCAAAGGAAAGATAAAGGTAAAAAAAATGATGATGCAGTTGAATAGCTCTTATCAGTTGTATCAGCATATGAAGTTTGATAATACTATCCTGAATGGTTACTTTAAAACTGAGCTAAACACTAATTTAAGAAAAGTGAGGTCAAGGTCAAAGGAAAGGTCAAGGTCAACAAATGTTGATGCAGTTGAACAGCTCTCAACAGTATGTATCAGCATATGAAGTTTGATAAAAATATCTAGAATGGTATCTTTAAAACTGAGCTAAACACTAATTTAGGAAAAGTAAAGTCAAGGTCAAAGGAAAGGTCAAGGTCAAAAACTGTTAATGCAGTTGAATAGCTCTCATCAATATCTATCAGCATATGAAGTTTGATGAAAATATCTTAGACAGTTTCTTTGAAATTGAGCTTTCAACTGAGCTAAATGCAAAGCACAATGGAAGGATGCAGATGGAAGGACGGAAGACGGACATGACAAACAATATACATGATATATGCCCCAGCCATATTCATGGCGGGGCATAAAAATCTTGGAAAGTAATGAATGTCCTTACCTACAAGATCTCTGTTAGGACCTGTGTCATTAGCATTCCAATTAAAGGAATAAATCGAGGGCCAATTAGTAAATCCCTCATGGTGTTTACTGGTCAATACAACATATCTGTTAATTCAAAAGAAAAATATATTACCTCTTGAACGTGTTCAATAGATTCTATAAATTTAACATGTTTACAGAGATGAAGTGATACCACAATTCAAGTTTGACAAGTGAGAAAATGCATCTAGTATGAAAAAAATTGTCAGAGCCACTTAATCTTTTCTTTAGCTACACACTATAGAACACAGTGGTTGTTTCACTGGTCATATGAACATACGTTACAGTTGAACTTCAGTATCTGGAACACTGATATCTCAATTACCATGGATATGTTAAAGTGTTTTGGAAGTCCCAATAATACTTATTCTTTATGTATTTTACCCTTGATATCTCGAATCATCAGATATCTGGAAGAGTTTTCTAGGTCCCATGGAATTCGAGATAACGAGGTTTAGCAATATGATCACCCAAGACTTTCACTGTGTATTTAAGTACAGTGAATGAGGGTCAAAGCCACTAATATTAGTGATGCTTTGGGGAAAAGTTGGGAAAAAAATAAATTTTTTCCTCGAATTTATTCCTCAAAAATTACCTCGATGCATATTAAGACTTTAGATGGGATACAACTTCCGGTTGGGGGTACAATAAAATCAGAGACTTCCAAGTATTCCACTCCGAGGTCTCTGGTTTTATCCTTCATTTATAACCCCAACCAGAAATTTGTATCCCATCTAAAGTCTTAATATGTATCAGGTAATTTTCGAGGAATCAATGAGTGATTTACAATAAATAGGCTCGACCAGAGACGTCTGAAACAATTTAATTGACAAGAAAAAAGTCTTTCGAAGCAAACGATGTCATTTTAAAGTAGGTTAATGATTGATATATTAACAAAATACGAGCTTGAAGCGGGGGTGCCTGAAATTGAGTTGGGCACCTTGTGGTAAAAATAAGTAGGGGTGCCCCATATATGAAACAAGTGCCTGTGTCCTAACACTATAGCACGGACAGACAGACAATGTGATTCTTACATTCCCTACAAACTTTCTTTGCGGGGAGGGGGGGGGGGGATAACTAATAAATTCATCTAAATTATGTAACCAGTGATATCATATCCATGATCTTACTTCGCTCCTGATTCCTTAAAAAGGCCTGCCCATTCTACAGGACTAAAGAACTCTGCCCTGAATTCTGGCGCAAAGTCAGCATACGTAAAGTCTGGTGGATAATTCGTTTGCATAAAATCAACTAAGCCTGGGAGACCTCTTTCTTTCCAATCATACCAAAACCATTCAGATGAAAAACTGGGTACGGAAAACACTCCCCAGTGAATAAAAATCCCAAGCTTTGCATCATCGTACCAATCCGGGAGGGGCCGTGAATCCAGGGACTCCCATGTTGGCTCGTAATGTACTGCCAAGGATTCACGTGCAAGAAGCAAAATAGCGATCGACATATAGCACCATGCCGCCATGTTTAAACAACAGACTGATCACATGATTCTGATGTCACGTGGTTTTGTTTACGGAATCACGTGTGCGGAGTGTCAGAAAAATGTCTGTTTTATCTGGTTTTAACTAGGCCTAGACTTTTCTGTGTTGTGGACACTACGATTTTGAATTTTCTATTGTTGAAAATGTAGAAAGCATAAAGCAGAGGAATCCCGAATGTTACAGCAAACAGCAAAGTGGTTGAAGCAGGAAAGGAACAGTCCAGATGAGATAAGAAAAGACTATGCCCGTCCCAACAACCTACCCCCTTTTTCAGTTGGTGCGTTTGATGTCCATACGGGATGGCGAAGACACAGGGAAATCAGTAGTGGTCACTAAACACGCCTGGGTAGAGGCCGGAGAGGATAATTTGTTGGCTTTGTATACCACAAATGGTAATTCCAGAAATAGGCTTCAGTAACCTACTTTCATTTTCTTTCATTATACTCATTAGTTGTAATGCATTTTCCTGATATTTTTTTGGTCTAAACGATGTTTCTTTCAAATTAATGAGTTTATGTTGTATTGCACTAGTTCTATTCCTAATCTCAGTTGAGATTCAGCTGGGCTGGATTTTAGCAAGTCAATCTAAATAAATATCCATTTGAGCCTAATCTCTATGGAGATAACTAAAGTAAATGTACCTACTATTCTAGTCTCATTAGAGTATGTTGACAAGCCAACATTATACATATGTATTGGCCGTGCAGGTATATTTGCTACATATACAGCTCAGGAGGCCAGGGTATGGTCAATTCTTATTTGGACCATCCCCCTTTTCTCCATGTTACATTTGTGCATGATACTGAAATACAATAACTTGCCAAGGATGACCCTGCATTGGCGATTTAGTTTCCTGTTCAAATTTCTATTTTTCAGGCTACCTTTTACTTAGGTTATCATCCTCTGGGAAAGTCCCAGCATACCGACAGTTGGTATGGCCTCATGAGAAACCAATCTGTACTATGTGCTTCGACCCCACTGTGTCCTGGTTACTGGTCGTCACAGAAGATGCCACACTCTTCATTATCCCAGCTCGATCAATTCTGGTGAGGACATGGGCCTATCTTTCTTGTGATGCTTTTTAAGAAATGAATTAGTTGTTATCGGACTGTTTATTATACTCTGTATTATATTTATAGGACAAGTCTGCCAGAGTCAATCAAATATGGAGCCTAGATGATGTCACAATTACCAAAGTCAAGAAAACCAAAGGTATTTGTATATTTATATAGTCATTAAATAACAATGCACAATGTTGTTTTCCAAAAGAGAGGATATGCTGCATAGAAAATGCAATTGAATTCAAAGTTTATGGAATTTATTAATAAATGATTTTTAAAGAAAATTAAATGTATCACTTGGTAGAGAAAATATTTGTCAAAAAAATATTTTCTTTTTCAAATGGAGAAATAACTTGTACAAAGTTCAGTCACTGAGTTATAAATTGATTCTATAAGCATGATAAGTCAGGCTAATCATGTAATTTGCATGATGGCAGTCTCAGAATAAGCCATATCACTCAAAGTGAATCATTTATTGTAAATCATTAAATATGAAAGTTTTTTTAATAATTATTTTTCAGGTCTTCCCTCAGTTGTAACATGGTGGCACACTTTGGATGATCAACAAATTGCTATAATTGGAACAAGGGTATATTTTATTGTTTTAGGTCACTTGAGTCACACAGGTGACCTATTGTGTTCCATTGTCATCTGTTCTCATGAGTTGTTCCAGTTTTTCTCTGGAAAAACTGAACCAATTTCATCCAGTTTTGGTGTATAGAGCATCCATGGGTGAACATGGTGAAGGGAAACAAAAATTAATAGTAATTGTTTCAAAATTGTGAAAAAAATAACCTTATTTGCTTTTTGATTAGCTATCACCAGTAGTTAATTATTCATGTGAAGAATGAAAAACTTTGTTATTAGCATTCAGACAAATTTTTGTAGAGCGGCGAAATAGTAGTTGTTGACCTGGTCAAGCGATGTATTGTTAATGAGTTAGAAGTCGATGCCAGCATTGCTAACTTTGATCTCATCCAAGATGATCATCAGATGTCAACCTATCTTCTGGTAATTCTTAGTGATACTATGAAAAGCAAAACCTTTTTGAAAGTACCCCGGTAAATTATAACATTTATTTGTGAAAGGTTAACTATATTTAGTACTGAAGTATAAAATTTTGTTTTAATTTATATACATGTATTTATAATTGTTTTATTAGCAATTTGTGCTTTGAATTGGATTCATTAGTAAGATTAATAAAAATGTTGTATGTAAACTGTAAAATAAGAAGTTTTTTTGCCCTTGTCTAAAGTTTGAAATAATTATGATTGTAATTGTGGTAGATGCCATTGACACAGATATTATTACATTTTTGGTACTACATATACTAATTCTGTGGACCTTTTTTTGTAGATTACTGGAAAAGCAGGAATTCAGTGGAAACTCCTGCTAGAATCCAGGACATCAGATGTGATCAAGTTTGACCTTGAAGTGTCTGACCTTGGATATGACCAGATTGATGGTCGGCATTTACCTATCACTAGTATTACTGCTGTCACAGGTAAGGGAAATAACTCATTTCTAGGGACTGAAACTTTGTAAAACTCTCATACAGAAAACTGTCTACACCCCAAAAAATTATATAGTATTGGAAAGCAAAGGTGTGCAACTGTGTGCATTTGTGGAACCAAGTGTGTGCATTGAAGCATTTCTATGTTCCTAATTCAACATCATAACCTAGGCTAAAGTTGGCATGCTGCTTTATCATGAACCACATTTGTACAAGGATGGGACTGAGAGAAAAAAAATGAGAGATATGCGAGGAATTGAGGTATTGAGGGTAAAATACTTAAAGAATAAATGGTTGAGCCTTTCAAATCACTTAGACATATCCATGGTATTTGAGATATTATTGTTTGAGATGCTGAAGTTCAAGTGTATATACAGTATTACCTAAGTTGGAAACTACTGAGGATCACCAAATTAAGGACTGTATTATCTCGTTCATGCAGACATCATTAAATTGATGTAATGACTGACATCAGCTTTGTCTCAATGTCATTTTACATGTTAATCTAGCTAATGGATACTCGCCACTAGCTTGTATGCGAATTCATCTAACATCTAATTGTAATTAGCTTGTATATGTGTTTTTAATACTTCTTAGAAATAACGACATCCATCCTTAGAAGTTGCGTTTATTAAAAATTACCCCAGGTGAATTTTTGTTAATTGTTTAGCCAGACGCTATTTATTCCTCTCAATTTCCACAGATGAAACCAAACATATCTTTATGCCACTGAGGTTCTATCAATTCCAAAGATCAGTGGCCTTGAGTCCACAGAATGCCAAAGGACGTCACTTCGTAGCTGCCCATGACAACAAATCATCCACATATCAGGTCAGCATTCTTAGGTTTGAAATTTAATTTTCTCCAAGTCTGGGATATGTTTTGATATTTCAAGGTTCAAATAAGGGGATTTACAAGTGTTCAAATGAAAATATGAAAAGAGCTGAATTATTTATTTCACTTTTCCTAGGATTTAAATAAAGTATTGATTTTAAAGTTCTAGCTATTTTAAATGAAATATTGACATCTTGTAATTTTTTTATCTTCAGATGTACATGCATTTGTTATTTGTATATATGTTTTATTAATACAGGTGTTTGACAGCAACATAGAGCACTCACCATTATTTGTGTACAAATTACCATTGGGTGCCTGTAACATCATTCTCAGTGACAAGACAATCTATACAACTACCCGATTGGCTGGTGAAAAAAAGCTGCTGGTGATAGCCAATCAAAAAGCAGAAACTTCAGTAGAGGATCAAAAGGTACAAATTCCATCAACTTTTTAGGTCTTCTGAGTCACTCAAGTGACCTACATGCATTGCTCTCTTTTTTCGTCCATTGTTGTGTGTTGTACATCGTGCATCAGTCGTAAACTTTTGAACATATTCATCTTCTTCTCATGAATGGCTTAACCAATTTCAACTAATTTTGGTATATACATGTATGTATATATCATCTATGGGTCAATAAGAACCGAAATTATGAATCATGGTCCCTGCCCCTTGTAACCTGAGGGGTGGAGCGAAAAACATCAAAATTAATACGAATTTCAAAATTCTTCTTCTTTACTCCTAGACATCAAGCAGTCAAACTTTGACATGATTATAACAAGCAATGAGTCCTTTACTAAATTGTGAACTTCATGGCCCCCGGGATCAGTGGTTCTGGTGTAAGGGTAGGGTTCTATGATAATATTATAGTGAAAATGCATTTTTTCTCTAAAAATCTTGTTTGCTTTTGGATACTAAGTAAACAGATTTAGTACATGTTTATGATGAGCAAGGGTGCATTTTCCAGAATTGTGTAATTCGTGGCCCCTGTGTTAGGGGTTCTGGTGTTAAGGTGGGGCTCTATTGATCATAGAGTGAAAATGCATAAATCCTTTAAAAATCTTCATCTCTGCCCCTGGGTATTTAGCAGACAAATTTATTGCATGGTTATGATGAGCAAGGATACCTCTTCCAAATTTGTGAAATTCATTGCCCCTGGGTCAGGGGTTTTAGTATTAGGACAGGTCTCTATTGATTATATAGTGAAAATGCATTATTTCTTTAAAGTTCTTCTTCTCTGCTGCTGGGTATTTATTCTCATCTATCAATTTATTTTGTTTTCTTTTATATTTCTGTAGATCTTTTACAGTTTTCAGTGTTGTTTTATACATAGGTGACCATTATGGCCCTTGGGCCTTTGTTTTATTTACATTAGAAAACTGATGTGTAAAGAAGGAAAAAAAAAGAAAGTAACTGTATTGAATGTTGCATAACTGTGAAGACAGCTGATAAATTTTCTGGTCAGATTGTGTGATTTACATGTAGGAAGATCTCACAAAGCCTCTTTTATTCTTTATCAAAGGAATTCAACAAGGAGGCTATTCTGCAGCACTTTGATTTACCAGTGGATGAAAAACTGTTAACTGTAGTAAAGAAATCCTTCCCATTCTACTGGCATGACAAGAGAGAGGAAAACCTCAGGCAGCAAATGCTGAACAACAAGGAGACAGGGATGTGGGACCAGGCTGATGATAGAATTCTGGGGACATACGGGGGAGCGTATCGGTCATTTGAGATCCAGATCACTGGTCACACAGTGCTGAATGGTTGTCTGGTCGTTACTGACTCAGCTGTGTATGAATTAAGACCAAGGTTTGTAATTCTGAGGCTAGATGTTATGGTTTCAGATAACTGCATCTTGTTGCTTCTTCTAAAACAAGAAATGAAAAATATTTGTGTACGTAAGTCAATTAAGCAACAAGATATCGGCATATTAGGAAACTTCCTATACAAATATTTTTTTGTATTATACTATTTTTATAAGCACATCTTTGGACAACTTCACAAGTACTTGTTCCTATTATAACATGTATTTTAATATAATTCTGATATAAAATGGAAGCTATCACAATAGAAAAAAGATGAATTTCAGTGTAGTTTTATTTTCTTGATACAGAATTTCTGCAGAACGTCTTTTTCTTGACCTGGCCCTTGGTAAATCAGATGCCAGTGTTACAGATAATCTAGGGATAGCCCTGGGTCTAGATATCAACACTCTGTACGAGTTGTCAGCCGAAAACTGTGTACAGAACCAGAGTTATGAGAGAGCCATTAAACTGTTCAAAATGGCCAAGGTGAGGGGGATAACTCTGTAAATAGGAATTTTGTTCACAATGGGAAACTATTAAAGGATTGAGTTTTTTGTTTAATTTTGATGTAATTCTTATTTAAGTGGTAATTTTTTACTAACAGATTCTAGGTAATAGGGCATATCACTAATTTTACAAGTAACACTAAATACAAAGTCTTGAAATATTACCAAAGTCAGCACAATATTGAAAAAGTATCAAAGGCAAGGACCCCTACCATTTAAAAAAAAAAAACAAATGTAGCAAGGATATATTTGAAAAATCCACTTTTATTTTTGTTATAGTCTTCTTACATGAAGCGGGTATCTAGCTTTGCCAAGCATGGTCGTGTACAGGAAGTGATGTCACACCTACGACAGGCCTTAGGGGATCACTCTTCAGACCTGACCACGGTGGAAAAGAAACAGCTGTCAAACATGGCCATATACTGCTATGTGTACCTCTTAAAACAAGGAACTGGTGAAGAACAAATCAAAAAGACTTTTGTGTAAATATACATTTAATAAAACTTACTGTGGCTATTGATGTAAGAAATATTAATGAATCTTCTCAGTATAAAAAAAATATGTATATAAGCTTGGCAAGTGGAAATGCATTTATCAATTATCCTTGAGATATTGTATGCTTATAGATTTCTCATACATCATGTATTATAATAGTAGATAAAATTGCTTGATGAGATTTAGATCTTTTATTTTTTCTTCTTCAGGGAATTTCTGATCAGCAACTTTTTCTATGATGAACAAATGACCCTTAGTTTATTAGCAGAAAATAATCTGACAGATGTCTTATTAGAGATGTCCAAGGTATTAATTAATACATCTTAATAAAATTACAGGATACAAAATATATTTGCTGCAATAATTATCTACACTAGGAATTTGAGTTGCCATTATTGAATAACCATCATTTCAAGGTTTTGTCTCTAGATATACAGTGAAAAAAATCTTCAGTAAACTGGTAACAACAACATTATTACTGATACAATGTCTATTTTATTCTCTTATAAGTTTAGTAACATAATTGATGGTGGTAATAATAAGTTTGTATGTTTCAGTCGAGAGGTCTAGTAATGGAAGCTTTGAGTCTTCTGGCTGAGAACAAGCACTTTGTGATAGACCCAGACATGATCACAGGGCTTGTGTCCAAAGGATTTACCAACCATCTCATCCAGGCTTCCAAAGGTACAGTTTAAGGGTTTACCGGTCATTTTAATTCAGGATTATAATGGTAGGCCCACAAAGTTCAATAAATCACTTCATAAGGCTCCCAAAGATAGGTTAGAAACATTACACCAGACACCTCATCCAGGCTTCAAAAAGAGAGCAGAAAAGTTGCACCAATTATCTAATCTTAGCCTCTTAAGATAGGTCACAAATATTCACCATTCATTTCATCAAGGTATCTAATGGGAGGCCACAAGAATTCCCCAATTATCTTACTCAGTTTTCTCAAAATAGGTCAGAAAGGGTTCCTCAATTTCCTCATTCATACTTCCAAAGGTAGATTACAATTGATTCACCAATCCCTTCATTTGGTTTTTCAATGTCACAAAAGTCGTCTTCTGATAAAAAGGTGAGAAAAGATTTTTTATCTCCTCATTTAGATTTCCAAAGGTAAGTTAGGAAATGGTTTATGATACTCCCAATCCTGGTTTTTAATAATAAATGGTTCAATCTCATCATCCATGCTTGCATAGATATAAAGTCATCAATAATTCTGCAATCTCATGCAGGCAACATCACAAAGGGTTCCCAAGTCACTTCATTTATCTTAATAAAGTCTGCTTACTTAATGTCTGTAGATACATCCAGCAGCAGTGAGGGATTTATAAGTAATGACCTCAACATAACACATAAGCTTCTGCTTTATTATTCTTAATGCAGCATTTAAAAAATCGATAAAATTCCTGGACCTGCATTCTACAAAGGATGACTGCACTTAACGCCTGTTTTTGGGTCTTTTTCGGTTGCTTCTGTTGCTTTTATATCTAAACTTTATTTCACTTTTGTATGTTTATGAAAGAATCCTGTCAATTTGGAACCAAATTTAAATCTTAAAATGATTTTAGACTGTGATACAATAAAATGATTCAATGTTTTTTGTCCTTACTGCTTTCCAAATATAGTGAATTTACACTTATCTGCCCTTGATTGAACATTAGATATGCATAAGAGGTGGAGCTAACATTGTAAATATGGGTCTAAAATTAGACTTGATAAATAACAATGGCATGTTTGAAAAAAAGAATGTGGTCACTCTTTCCAATCTCCCTCTCCATTCTGTATGGCACAAATACACTTCTGACAAAGGTTTCAAAACGAAGCTAACAATATGAGCACGTCAATGTAATTAAAGCAGATTGTATATCCATGCCAGATGACTTAACGTATTCGAACACAATGTCCTAGTTAGCACAAAACATGCTACCTTACAAGTCACGTGACGGAATTTAGTATTCACAGAGTTACCTGAGGTAGGACATCACGTGGTGAATTATAATATTCAACATGTCGCAATCCTTGTTTACAACACAGAGAGCGAATGTAAGAAGAAGCAGTTTTTTCTCTTTTTAACCATGAGCGCATGTTTGTCTATTAATCTCCTTTTGACACATTATTATTTATGCAAATATACAACTACTGTTAAACGTAGAAAAATAGACAAACATGCGCTGACTATGTATAAAGTCAGTAAATAAGTGGGCGTCCTCATTATCGTACGGAGATTCAAGAAATTGTGATGACCCCTGCCTTTGAAAACAGATTCGAACTTCGTAAATACACACTTTTATTATAAACGTAATTACATAAAGTTGTAGATTGGATGTTGGCCATTCTTGCAATGAAAAGAAAAATGCTTGTTTTGAAAGTTTATTTTGTCGCAGATTTCGCATATCCTTAAGTGCAGTCATCCTTTATCTTTCTTAAAATAAAAATTTAGGATGCATAGAGTTAACTGTATATAGGATGTTTTTCTGTAACACAGGTGTTTTCCTGCAGTTTATGTCCCCCTCCTCACTGGTAGATCTGCTGTGTAGTAAGCCTGACCTGGCCCTCCCTAATTACCACCTGCTTCAGGCCGTCTTACAAGATTTAGACGTTCCTCACCTGGAAACACTGGCTCAGGTGTTTGACCCTTCAAGGAATCCACTTAGGAGCCATCTTTGTAGACATATGGGGTCCAGGCACAGGTAAATAAGATACTGTAGATATACTTTTTAGCTCACCTGAGCTGAAAGCTCAAGTGAGCTTTTCAGATCACCCGTTGTCCATCGTCCGTCCTTCTGTAAACTTTTCACATTTTCAACTTCTTCTCAAGAACCACTGGGCCAATTTTGACCAAACTTGGTACAAAGCATCCTTGGTTAAATGGAGGTTTAAATTCTTAAAATGAAGGGCCAAGCCCCCTTCCAAGGGGAGATAATCAAGAAAAGACAAAAATAGGGTGGGTCTTTAAAAAATCTTCTTCTCAAGAACCACTGGGCCAGAAAAGCTGAAACTTATGTGGAAGCATCCTGGGGTAGTGTAGATTTAAAATTTTGTAAATCATGACCCCCAGGGGTAGGGCAGGGCCACAATAGGGAATCCAAATTTTACATTGAAATATGTAGAAAAAATCTTTAAAAATCTTCTTCTCAAGAACCACTTGGCCAGAAAAGCTGAAACTTATGTGGAAGTATCCTGGAGTAGTGTAGATTCTAAATTGTTCAAATCATGACCCCCAGGGGTAGGGTGGGGCCACAATAGGGAATCCAAATTTCACATTGCAATATGTAGAAAAAATCTTTAAAAATCTTCTCATGAACCATTGGGCTAGAAAAACTGAAAATTATATGAAAGCATCTTAAAGTAGTGTAGATTCTAAATTGTTCAAATCATAAGTTTAACCCCCAGGGGTAGGGCGGGGCCACAAACGGGAATCCAAGTTTTACATTGAAATATGTAGAAAAAATCTTTAAAAATCTCTTTCTCATGAACCACTGGGCCAGAAAAGCTGAAACTTAAGTGGAAGCATCCTGGGGAAGTGCAGATTCTAAATTATTCAAATCATGACCCCTGGGGTAGGGTGGGGCCACAATAGGTTTTACAGGGGGAAATGGATGAAAAACAGCAAGGCCAAAGTTACTCAGGTGAGCATTGTGGCCCATGGTCCTCTTGTTTCGGCACGGTATTAATTTACTATACAGAAATTTGTCCCAGAGCTTTTAAGGTACATTTAAGGCATATAGTGGCAATCTAAGAAATTCGTGTAATTTTCTACCCACAGATTGAACAGAAATTGTGATTCCATGGAATTATGACTCTGTGGAGAAAGTATTTATACAGTACCTCAAGTTAATTCATAAGTCATTTCATATGTTTCTATGTGTGTTAAAGGATTTATTGCCAGTTTTCATGCCCAATCCCTGAATGTATATTTAGTTGAAAAATGAAAAAAATGTGATGATTGTGAGGGTATGAATATGACATACAAATTGTTATACCCTTGTTAAACAATGAAGTACTTTTCAGACATTGCATTTTTAAATGTATCTATAAAGATTTCTATAGATGCTATATATGAGACATTTTCTACCATTCACATTCTAGAACCGCCAGTATTAGTTCTGTGTCCAGTGATGGAGAACCAGGAATCCTGGTAAGTTTTGTTTTTACACAACTGAATTGTAAAAGAAATAGTTCAAGTAGTATTTGAATAGGATGTTGTTATGTGATTTGAAGGGTGTATTTTTAAGGATGTCAGTGCACATGTGTGATGAGAAATGAAGATGTTGATGTCATTTGTGTGATTTGTACATGTAGTATTTTCTACAAAATTTATAGGATGCTTTTATGTTCTGTTGAATGTTGATATGTTTTAAGGATGTTGAGATGTTGATATTCTCTATAAGATGTTGATATACTTTGTAGAATGTTGATATACTTTGAAGAATGTTGATATATTATTTTGTAGAATGTTGATATATTTTGTAGGATGTTGATATGTTTTGTAGGATGTTGATATGTTATATAGGATGTTGATATGTTTTTTAGGATGTTGATATGTTCTATAAGATGCTGATATGCTCTGTAGGATGTTGATAGCCTTTTAGGATGTTGATATGTATTTAGGATGTTGATATGTTCTGTAGGATGTAAATATGTTTTGTAGGATGTTTTTAATGCTTTGTAGGATTTTGATATATTATATAGGATTTTGATATGTTTTGTAGCGTGTTGATATGTTTTGTAGCATGTTGATATATTTTGTAGGATGTTGATATGTTTTATAAGATGTTGATATGTTTTATAAGATGTTGATATGTTTTGTAGGATGTTGATATGTTTTGTAGGATGTTGAGATGTTGGTATGTTTTGTAGCATGTTGAGATGTATATAGGATGTTGATATGTTTTGTAGGATGGAGGATTGACTGATATGAGTAGACTGGTGGAGGTCTTTATTCGCATTATAATCCATCTTAACAGGAGGAGGGAGGAAAATGGCTACATTCCCTCAGTGCAGGAGTTGATGTCCATCAGCACAACAGAAGCCAAACAACGATCTCAGAGTGTATGTATCAATGTTCATTACAATAGGACTAGAACTGTATTTATGCATTCTATTCCATTCTGGCTTCATATTCTTTATTTTCACATGTGTAACTGAAACATGACAACAGTGACAGTATATGTAACTTATGCATTTTAGTACATAATGGGTAACAGCTGCTCTTTTTTTATGCCACCCCCCCCCCCAATCGAAGATTCGGGGGCATATAGTTTTTGCCCTGTCTGTCCGTCTGTCTGTCTAGCTGTCTGTTTGTCCATAAAAACTTTAACCTTGCCCATAACTTTTGATTGGTTGGAGCAATGACTTTCATATTTCAGATGTGTATTCCTTGTGACAATCATATTTGACCTCTTGACCTTGGAGTTTGACCCACTTTTGCAAAATTTTATTTTTACTTTAACCTTGGCCATAACTTTTGAACACTTGGAGCTTAGACTTTCAAACTTCACAAGTGTATTCCTTGAGAAAAGGTCTTCCTTTGGATACCAACATCTTTGACCCTTTGACCTTGACCTTGGAGTTTTACTTTCTGTTGAAAAAACTTTAACCTTGGCCATAACCTTTGAACAGTTTGAGCTAGGTCTTTCATACTTCGCATGTATACTCCTTGTGACAAGACCTTTCTTTGCATACAAGTGTACCAACAAATTTGACCTTTTGACCTTGACCTTGGAGTTTGACCTACTTTACTTTTGAAAAATTTTAACCTTGGCCATAACTTTTGAACAGTTAGTGCTAGGGTTGACTTCACTTATGCATTCCCTGTGAGAAGACCTTCCTTTAAATACCAACAACTTTGACCTTTTGACCTTGACCTTGGAGTTTGACCTACTTTTGAAAAGCTTGGCCTTAATTTTTGAACAGTTGGTGTTAGGGCTTTCATACTTCACATGTATATTCCTTGTGACAAGACCTTCCTTTGGATAACAACAATTTTGGCATTGACCTTAACCTTGGAGTTTGACCTATTTTTAAAAATTTTTAACATTGGCCATAACATTTGAACGTTTGGTTCTAGCGCTTTTACATTTCACAATCATGTGTATCTCTTGTGACAAGAACTTCGCTTGGGCACCATTTGACCTTGACCTTGCCATTTTACTTACTTTGAAAAAACTTTAACCTTCGCCATAACTTCTCAACGGTTTGTACAAGGGCTTTCATATTTCACAAGTATATTCCTCGAGACAAGACCTTTCTTTGGGTACTAACATTTTTGTATTTCTTGACCTGGAGTTTGACTTGCATTTAAGAAACTTTAACCCTCGCAATAAGCTGCCATACGGGGGCATCAGTGTTTCACAAACACATCTTGTTTTTTTTTTGTAATATGACCATTCAAAGGTGGCAATCAAATTTCTAATTTTGCTAACTGTTATTTCATTTGTTATTTTTCCTCACTGAGAGATTATATCTGTTTAGGTAGGCTTTGTAATTTCTTCTTTTAGCCTGCTTCCAGTAAACCCCTGAAAGGACTTAAGGCTTCCTCCTTCTCTGACCATCTGTCTATCCCTCTGTCTATCAGTCTGTCCCACTTGGTTTTCCTCTTTTTTTTCTAAAGACACATAGATATTGAGCTGATTTTTGGTATTTAAGAGTATCTTGAAGAGTTACAGATCTACATATGTAGTTTGCATTTTGTTCCACTTCTATGATTTTTCAAAGAATTATGGCCTTTTCATCTTTTAAGGGGAACCAGATTACCAGTACACTTTTTACCTGAAGAGGATTAGTATAGCTTATGCAATAATTAATCCCCCTGCTCTGAAGGAGAGGGGGTATACCGTTTTACCCTTGTGTTTCTGTGTGTGTGTCTGACTGTTTTTTTTTCTCAGCAGCTACTCATTGCAGATGCTTGAAATTTTAGCACACTCTTTTTTTAGGCATTTCTTAAGGTCTAATTCATTTTTGTATGGATCTGATGTCAACTTCCTGTTTACCGTGCGTCTGTCCATACCATACATAAGAAATTTTGGTCGCAGTTTTCTCAGCAACTTCTCATTGCAGATGCTTGAAAGTTTAGCACACTCTTTGTTTAGGCATGCCATATGGTGGGACCCATTTTTGTATGGATCCAATGTCAACTTCCTGTTTATCTGTGCATTTGTCTGTACCATACATAACTAGTTTTGGTCGCATTTTTCTCAGCAATTGCTTGAAAATTTAGCACATGTTTAGGCATGCCATATGGTGGGATTCATTTTTTGTACAAATCTGATGGCAACTGCTTGTTTATCTCTGTGTCTGTTCATAACTGAACCTGTGTATTCACATTAGAGCAGGGGTATTATTAGTGAGCATTGGCTCACAGACTTCTTGTTTCAGAATGCTTGTTACTAAAGGTAAATAATAGATATGTTTCTGAATTTACAGCAAGCTCATACAAGTCAACCAGTGCCAAGAAGAAAGCGCCTGTCATATCAACCTCGTCCTATAGGGGCAGGGCCTCAGCATGTTGCAGTGGTCAGAAACGGAGAGCTTTACACCTGGGGTAAAACTTCACAGGGGAGGTAAGCAGTGGAGGGTAATTGAATTAAACTGAAAGTTTGACTTGTTTTCAGATGACTAGAAATTTATGAAATTATTTAAATCTTAAACTTGAAAACATTCCTTCAGTTTTGTCTAAGATTACTGCTAAAACAAGTGCTCTCTGGGGGTTTTTAACTGCATAATTTAAAAAGGAATTGCTTGAATTTATTGCTGTAATGGATTTTTGTATAGGTTAGGACATGGAGACTTGGCTCTAGAGAACACGGTATCCCCTCCCTGTAGAGTAGAGACTCTTCACATGCTTCATATAAAAGTATTATCTGTCTCTTGTGGAGGAGAACACACAATCGCTCTAACCCAACAAGGGGTCAGTTTTAATTATTTACAATAATGTCAGGTTCTATTGTCATGTTAAAGACTTCATATTGGTATATTTTATGAAAATAGATAATGATAAATGGAGAAAAATAAATCAACCTAAAGTTTGCTGAAAAAGATAAAGTACATTGCACATTTACATTGCAAAATATTCTAACAATGAAATTGCACTATTGTACATGAAATTAAAAACAATCATTACATGTTAATTACAAGAAATCATAAAAATGCTTTAATTACTATATAATAGTTTAATTAATGGATTAATAATTGGTGTGCCAGGTACAATTTTTGTGATAGTAATACTAAACAGGCATTGTTCTACTTGTAAATAAAATTGTATATGTATTTTATAGCTAGATGTGTCACTATGAGAAAAACCTTTGATTATAGGTTTATGGGTGGGGCTCCTCCAAGTATGGTCAGGTGGGGACAGGAACTACCCACATCTATAGCCGTCCAATGTTGATTGAAGCCTTATCAGGGGTCAGCTGTGTTGATGTAGTGTGTGGACAGTATCACAACCTAGCCCTCACAGTGGAGGGGGAGTAAGTAATAAAGATATCACAACCTGCCCTTACAGTGGAGGGGGAGTAAGTAATAAAGATATCACACCCTAGCTGTCACAGTGGAAGGGGAGTAAGTAATAAAGATATCACAACCTAGCCCTCACAGTGGAAGGGGAGTAAGTAATAAAGATATCACAACCTAGCCCTCACAGTGGAGGGGGAGTAAGTAATAAAGATATCACAACCTAGCCCTCACAGTGGAGGGGGAGTAAGTAATAAAGATATCAAACCTAGCCCTCACAGTGGAGGGGGAGTAAGTAATAAAGATATCACACCCTAGCTGTCACAGTGGAGGGGGAGTAAGTGTTAAAGATATGACTACCTAGCCCTCACAGTGGAGGGGGAGTAAGTAATAAAGATATCACATCCTAGCCCTCATTGTGAAAGGGGAGTAAGTAATAAAGATATCACATCTAGCTGTCACAGTGGAGGGGGAGTAAGTGTTAAAGATATGACTACCTAGCCCTCACAGTGGAGGGGGAGTAAGTAATAAAGATATCACATCCTAGCCCTCATAGTGAAAGGGGAGTAAGTAATAAAGATATCACACCCTAGCTGCCACAGTTGAAGGGGAGAAAGTAATAAAGATATCGCAACCTAGCTGTCACAGTGGAAGGGGAGTAAGTAATAAAGATATCACACCCTAGCTGTCACAGTGGAGGGGGAGTAAGTAATAAAGATATCAAACCTAGCCCTCACAGTGGAGAGGGAGTAAGTAATAAAGATATCACACCCTAGCTGTCACAGTGGAGGGGGAGTAAGTGTTAAAGATATGACTACCTAGCCCTCACAGTGGAGGGGGAGTAAGTAATAAAGATATCACATCCTAACCCTCATTGTGAAAGGGGAGTAGGTAATAAAGATATCACACCCTAGCTGTCACAGTGGAGGGGGAGTAAGTAATGAAAATATCACAACCTAGCCCTCACAGTGGAGGGGGAGTAAGTAATAAAGATATCACATCCTAGCTGTCACAGTTGAAGGGGAGTAAGTAATAAAGATATCACAACCTAGCTGTCACAGTGGAAGGGGAGTAAGTAATAAAGATATCACACCCTAGCCCTCACAGTGGAGGGGGAGTAAGTAATGAAAATATCACAACCTAGCCCTCACAGTGGAGGGGGAGTAGGTAATAAAGATACCACTACCTAGCCCTCACAGTGGAGGGGGGTAAGTAATAAAGATATCACGACCTAGCCCTTACAGTAAAGGGGGAGTAAGTAATAAAGATATCACTACCTAGCCCTCACAATGGAGAGGGGGGGGGGGGTAAGTAATTAAGATATCACTACCTAGCCCTCACAATGGAGGGGGTGTAAGAAATAAAGATATCACAACCTAGCCCTCACTGTGGAGGGGGGGTAAGTAATAAAGATATCACTACCTAGCTGTCACAGTGGAGGGGGAGTAAGAAATGAAAATATCACAACCTAGCCCTCACAGTGGAGGGGGAGTAGGTAATAAAGATATCACTACCTAACCCTCACAGTGGAGGGGGAGTAAGTGATAAAGATATCACACCCTAGCTGTCACAGTGGAAGGGGAGTAAGTAATAAAGATATCACAACCTAGCCCTCACAGTGGAAGGGGAGTAAGTAATAAAGATATCACACCCTAGCTGTCACAGTGGAGGGGGAGTAAGTAATAAAGATATCACACCCTAGCTGTTACAGTGGAGGGGGAGTAAGTGTTAAAGATATGACTACCTAGCCCTCACAGTGGAGGGGGAGTAAGTAATAAAGATATCACATCCTAGCCCTCATTGTGAAAGGGGAGTAAGTAATAAAGATATCACACCCTAGCTGTCACAGTGGAAGGGGAGTAAGTAATAAAGATATCACAACCTAGCTGTCACAATGGAAGGGGAGTACGTAATAAAGATATCACAACCTAGCCCTCACAGTGGAGGGGGAGTAAGTAATAAAGATATCAAACCTAGCCCTCACAGTGGAGGGGGAGTAAGTAATAAAGATATCACGACCTAGCCCTCTCAGTGGAAGGGGAGTAAGTAATAAAGATATCACAACCAAGCCCTCACAGCAGATGGGGAATAAGTGATAAGAATATTATGACCTAGATGACAAACTTATGTAATTCACAAAGCCTAATGAATGCTGTACAAGGGGAGACATATCATGGGAGACAAGGAGAAAGTCTAAATTTTTCAAATCCACAACAGAGAATGAGCCTCGGAGCTAATAATCTAAATAAGAGCCACATATTATATTCAGCACATAGTTCTTTTGATAACAAGAAAGAGAGAGAGAGAAAGGAGGGAGGAAGGTTAGTTATTTATTTACCTTTCAGTATTCTGTTGTTTTATTAAGATGTTTATTTTGTAGTGTGTACAGCTGGGGTTGGGGTGTGCACGGTCAGTTAGGCCATGGCAGCATTGAGGATGAACTGACTCCCACCAAGGTCACGGCCTTGACCCCGTTACATGTGTCCCACATACAGGCCGGGCATTGTCATTCTCTGGCACTTACTGAGGGGGTAAGGAGAAGAATTCTTTTACAGTTTCATATATAACTGTCAATTTATTGAGTCTGAAGTCTACACAAGTGGAATTGAAGTAAGCTTTGTATTGTGTGTATAAATTAATTGTAATTTGTCAAAGGACAGACATGAAACACACTGAAATATTTTTATACATGTATTAATTTCATTGATTATAAATATTATGCTGTTGTATATTTTGCTTTTTCAGCTGAGATTTGGTAAGATATTAGGTGATATTATTTGAAGTGTAGTGATGTATTTTTTTTTTTACAGGGGACGGTTTATGCATTTGGATGTGGTTTCTTTGGCCAGCTTGGTCTAGGACACAATAGGAAAGCCACAGTTCCAGTGAAGATTAATACACTGCATGAAAAAATAGCCATTGTGGGGACAAGATATTTCCATAATGTAAGCTTACTAAGTATATACTGGTAGTTAAAAGTCTAGAATATTTATGCATTACCAAATTTCGTAACAAAATGTAGATTGATACATGTTTTGTCTGTTTAGTTATTTTAATGTCTTCTCAGAAATCTCAAGGCAAATTTCAACTAATTTGTCACATAACACCTATAGAAATTGTCAAATTGATTGAAAAGATTCTTATGTAGCATAGTTTAAATAATGCCCATGCTCACACTCTTAAAATCAGTCTACATGAAAAAAGATAAGACTATAAAACTATAAAACTTGGTATTTTACACTACATTTAAAATGCTTTGATTTAAAATAAAGAATTATTCTAAGATCATTACTTGGAATAAAAAAAATTTATTCATGAAAGTGTGCAACTTTAAGTTTCCAATACACCTTTAAGCTGTTTATACATGTATTTATCAAAAACTTCATGCATACGTAGAATTAGTAACTAAATTTTTGTGACTGTGGATCATGCACATATAGCCCATGTGTTAACAAAATATCTGATTAACTATATGCCATATTGATGATATTGATTACAGGTTGCAGTATCCTTAAGTAACAAAGTATACACGTGGGGATGTCACCCCTATAACCTGAGGTTTGTAGCTCACGCAGCCAGGAAGGCCCGTCAAGCCGGAAAATTCATGGGTGACCCTGTGGATCAATTCCTTCTACCAGAAGTGGTGGATACAAGTTATGTCCATGGCAGAATCACAAAGGTCAGAATGTGCAGTCCTTACAGTGAAAATTTCAAGGAAATTTAATAAATGAGGACACAGTTAATTATCACTGGTATATGTTTGTCTTAACTTTAGTACATGTATATCATTGCATATTTGAAACAAATAGATAATTATTCTAAATGACATTAGAAAATTTTAAGTTATTCTTGAATGATGAAAAATATAGTTCACCTTACATATCTGATACTGTGAAATCGCTAATTTTCATAGGAGTTTAATTTTTGTATTTTTGTGGTATGTAGAGATGCACAAATTCATGTCCTCCACAAAATGTAAAAGTCAAACATAAAACAGCTTAACACTTGTTCATCTACGAAATCAAATTCCATGATTTATTTCCCCTCAATCCACATAAATTTGACCTAGTGAAAATGAGTGATTGAATGAATTATTGATAGTGGAAAACAGGATATTGTATATCTACATTTGAAACACATAAACATACTCAATCTACTTGTGTTTTACATAGTACATAAAGTTGTCTGGTTACACCTGTAATGTTCAATCACTACCTGACAGGTGGCTGTGGGAAGCTCCCACAGTTTACTGATGACGTTGGACGGAGATGTGTACAGCTGGGGACGTAATGCAGAGGGGCAGATTGGCAACAACACTAAACATGAAATGGTAAGGAATAAATGGTAACAGCACCAAGCATGAAATGGTAAAGAATAATGGTAACACTAAACATGAAAAGGTAAGGAATAACAAAACCAAGCATAAAACGGTAAGGTCAATACACAGAAACAACACCAAACATGAAATGGTAAGGAATAAATGGTAACACTAAACTTGAAAAGGTAAGAAATGCAGTTACAACACCAACCATGAAATGGTAAGGAAAACATGATAACAAAAGTAAATATAAAGTGGTAAGGAATAAATGGTCACAACACTAAACATGAAATGATAAGTAATAAGCGGTAATAATACTAAATGTACACTCATACATAATATAAAGTTTGAGTTATGTAGCGAGTTGTAAGAGGTATAAAAATGTAAATAAAAGGAATATTTCTAATCTTTCATTGTGTGTAAAGATGAGAAACAACCAGGATTGAAGCATATCACTTACATAAGCTGAAGTTGACTGATAGAGATTCAAGGTCAGAAGTCAAGATTATTGTGAAGACTTGTGATGCATGAAACTTTCCACCTCACAGAGTTTTTATTTTTACTTTAAAACATAAATATAACGTGATGGTCAAGATACTTTATGACTATTAAGAAGACGTACATCAATTCTGGTGTCACACAGTAAAGGTCAAGATAATGGGTCAAGATTTTTAAGATGGCTGCCACTTATGTAGGTGAAGGAATGACCGGCCCCAAGGCCATAAAACTTGGTTGAAATCACTTTTGATTTCTGTCTCTTTGCCTATATATGTTCCTTTGGTAAAAGTGAAACTGAGATCAAAAGTGAGCCTGTGTCAGTTTTATGGCCCCAGAAGCAGCTGGTCTATTTAGAACCTTAAACTACTGGTGCATAATTTCATGAAAACACATACATTCCTTCAGTCAAAGTTCAAGGTTAAAATTATTCATTTTCTCATAAGTACCTATCTATGGCATAAAATCTTGATTTACATGTATATCTAACATACAGACTTCTTACTTACTGCCAGTTAAAGAGATCTTACAGATTTCTGACAAAGTCAAAAGGTCAAGTTTTTTAATATAAGTACAATGTAAGATTGTACATGTATTTGATTGTCACCTTTTTTATATTACTTTAAATATTGTAATCAAGAATTCTTTTTCAGAAACATCCAAACATTATAACACAGATCAATGATCGTCAGATGGCCCATTTAGCATCAGGAGGAGAATTTAATGTTACCATGGATACAGAGGGATTGGTTTGGGTCTGGGGCAAGAATGACTTTGGACAGGTACACAGTTTATGATTAGGCACCTGTTAACTCCATAGAGTGTTACCAGATATAGAAATGTAAATGCCACGCATAAATCATATATGAATGCATAAAAATTATAAAATAAACTTAAGATATTAATACCATAGCTCAAAATAATTCTTCGGTGGTCATATTTTACTGGTCAAATGATAAATTTCTGTCACCTTATTGACCAGTTAACAAGCACTATGCATTTTTTCACTAATTATTGTAGAATGAAAGATGTCATGTTTTTCACAGCTTGGTCTGGATAGAATAGATAGTCCAACAGCTGCCAAGCACAGCAGAGTGCACACCCATCACAGACACAGGGAAACAGTGACCACGGTGACAGAGATACTGGTCCCCAGTGTTTGTGCTGGTATCCCACCTCCTAGACCTGTCAACAGGTTAAGGCACAATATGTCACAGTCAGACTCGTATGACAGCAGTGAAGAACATTGGGTAATTACTGCAGACAGTGAATGTTGTTGATTGATTAAACCAAGTTTTTCAAATGTAGGATTTTTGTTTGCATTTGTTAGGAAGGCATATTAAAATTTTCCATTTCTTATATGGATGTGGTTCTTCTTTTAATTTATCAAATTGATATCAATTTTCACACAAGAATGATGCAAATTTTTTCCTTTTTGAAACAGATGGGGTTAGAGAGAGTTGACCACAGACACCTGGATAAATTATCTGATCTTCAGATGCTTACTGAGGCCAGGTACAATAGACTGGTCATTCTGGAAGTCTTAGAGGTCAGTGTCTGATGCTGTTTTTTTATTGTTAACACTAATTAGTGTATATCACATTTATTTTGGGTAGGATAATGTATTGCTCTGTTTGCACAAAATAATTTTTGCATGTTTTTCATAAGTTAGTGCCTTGTATTATTCCTAAATGCTATATTCTTGCATTTAGACAATTCATATATATATTGTAAATTAAGTTCTTGTAGAGAAAATTGATTGATTGATTTACAATATGCAACAAATTGATAACTATGGATGTACTGACAACAGTATCTCATACCTGAGATTTAATTTACCAAAGAATTTTATTTTCTAGCACCAGCTGTTTCATTTCTGTCACTGTGTGATACATTTCTATGTGATTTTCTAGCACCTGTCTTAATTCTGTCACTGTGTGATACATTTCTATGTGATTTTCTAGCACCTGTCTTAATTCTGTCACTGTGTGATACATTTCTATGTGATTAAGTATTTTATTTTGTAGCACCTGTCTTAATTCTGTCACTGTGTGATACATTTCTATGTGATTAAGTATTTTATATTGTAGCAGCTGTTTGATTTCTGTCACTGTGTGATACATTTCTATGTGATTAAGTATTTTATTTTCAAGCATCTGTCTGATTTCTGTCACTGTGTGATACATTTCTATGTGATTAAGTATTTTATTTTGTAGCACCTGTCTGATTTCTGTCACTGTGTTATACATTTCTATGTGATTAAGGACCCTCTATACACCAATGAAAAATGTTTTTTGGACTTTGAGAAATTATATTGCGTAAAGGAGGTTATTTTGAAATTAATTAATCCACTTTTAATATAGGGAGCATGCCTTTTTTTATTCAGCAAAAATCTTCAAAGACAATGAAGTAATAATGAAGAAAAATTGCCTTTGCTTACTCAAATGGATAAAATACATTTAAGTAAAGTTTTCAGATGCTCTATTTTGGTCTAATAAAATGTTTAGAATACTTGGATTTATTTCAAATTATGTAATACAGTTCAGATTACAATTTATTCTATCCATATGTCAAATAGTGGGTCAGTCTAATTACACAAAAGTACCCTGAAAATAGGGTGCAGTGTAGAGAGGGTTCTTAAGTATTTTATTTTGTAGCAGCTGTCTGATTTCTGTCGCTGTGTAATACATTTCTATGTGATTATTTTGTAGCACCTGTCTGATTTCTGTCACTGTGTTCAGTTGCTAAGGAAGTGTGTAGACATGAAGGACTGGCTCAGTGCTGTGTACATCTGTATACACCAACAAAACTACCCGCAGGTATTTTATAGTTGCTTGTTGCAAAATGAAATTTACGAGATTTTCCAATAGTTACTAAGTTTATTTTTTTATGGTCATATAGCATATTCATTTCTTGTACTTGTTTTGTTTGAAAATTTATTTTATACCAATCCAAAATTCATTAAGTATCAAGGCAAAATTGGTTAAGAGGAAAAAATGGGTTTTTTTTTATATTGTAGGCATTGACCTTTCACCTCTCTGCTCTTAAAAAATACAAGCATCATTTTGAGAAGAAGTTCAAGGCCATTGTGGCAGCAGTCATAAACCTGTACATCCAGTAGGTATCGTTACTATGGCATAGTGGGGATATTTACATCCAGGGTGAAGGGCATTATGTCTTTTCTGTATATCTTTACTGTGGCTTAGTGGGAATATCTGTATCCAGGATCAATGGCATTACATGTATGTCTTTACTATATATCTGTCCCTTTGTCTGTTTACAACTTTAATATTACTCAGTAACTCTTGAAGTGAACAATTGGAAGGGTTCAAAGGTCAGAAGGTACCTTATGACCTTATATCCAGGTCATGTTGAACAAGGTCATGAGGATTGGTTTTGTAAATTTCATGTTCAATTATATTTGAGACACATCTGTTAATTATAGCTTGTAAAATCTACAGATGTGTACTTGTTTTGGTGGGATTTTAATCCTTAGATGCTATTTATTGGCTAATTAACTGCACCACAGAGATGTCATTACACTTAGATGTGATGACTATAAAAAAGACAAACACTAATTCCTGATAAGATAAATTAGTGGATTACCAACAGTTGTGCTGAATTCTGAAATAAGTACACATACAGTAATTTGTCTCTCAATGGTTTGTTGATATACATGTATCTTTGTTTAGCTTTCAGTGAACTTTTACCAAATGAAAAAGACCAATACCTAAATAAATGATTCAGAAGTGCTAGGTTTTGTTTTAAACTTGCAATAATACATGTAAATGAAGTGTTAGTGTATGTAAAAGAATATTTATATCCTGCTCATTCTCTTTTTCCTTTGTGAATATAAGTATTTCAGAGATCTATTAGTCTTGAATGATTCACATATCAATTGCATTATTAGGCTATGTGTAAAACAGGATTTATCAGCAGGCCAAAAGGAAGAAAACTACAGGATTCTCATCATGGAGGTAAACACCAACCAGCTAAAAAATCAATTTACAGATCATGCAAACACTGATCAGCTGTAAAAATCAATTTACAGATCAAACACCAATCAGCTGTAAAAATCAATATACAGATCAAACACCAATGAGCTGTAAAAATCAATTTACAGATCAAACACCAATTATTGATCTGTAAAAATTAATATACAGATCAAACACCAATCAGGTATAAAAATCAATATACAGATCAAACACCAATCATCGAGTGCTGAGTACAGAACTACCTTTATAAATTCAATGCACACAGGCACTTGAGGTCATATTTTTTTTTCTTATAATTATGACCAATAAAGAGCCCCCACACCTAATAAATCTGAGTCTACACTTCAGTGCAACAAGGGGCACTTCAGGTGTGCCATTGTAATTGATAGAAAAATTCCCTTGTGATTTATTACCTAGGGGTAAGATTTGTAAACTTTGAGGAGAGGATTATTTTCTCTTCCTTTAAGAACATATCTGACAAGTGCCTGTGTAAACAGACTCTTCAATTTAGTGTTTTAGTGTCTTTTAACATTGTAATTTAATTTTTTTTTTTTTTATCAAAGCGTAACTTTTTCCCTTGTCAGATCCTACATTTCTGGGAGGTGGAGCAACTAATGACCAGTGACCTGGAGAAGTTAATGACCCCTTACCTAGATCATCTGTCTTGTATCCTATCAGTCATCATATTCTGGTCAGTAACAAGATCAGAGAACCTTAATTACAGAAATGTACATGTATCCGGTATACATTTTTTTTTAATTTAAAGAATACAGAGTAAATTACTTTTTAAGATTTTTTTTCTTGTGACATTTGAATTTTCTTTTATTTCATGTGTTAATTGATGAATAATAAAACATTTCAAATTTTTACTTGCTTATTTTGAAAATGACCTCAAATCCATGTGGAATAGATAAATAGAAATTTACTTAAAATTTTTGGATTGTGTGAAAAAGTAAAAACAGTTTTCTCGAAACATTTCAGGCTGCAGAGTGATAAGGAAAGTCATGTTGCTGAGGCCAAGCTTCAATTCTCAACTAAATTCTCTCTGACAGTTTTACAAAATGTAGTACAAAAAATACAGTCACTAGACTTTGAAAAGAAGCATCCAATTTGTTACCATGCCTACCAGTCTGTTGCCATGGATACCAGAGAAGGACAAGGTCTTGACCTTCAGCCTAGTGAAAAAATGATACCATATCAACAGCTTTGGCAGGACGTGGTACAGAATCTGCAGAAGGGGGCAGAGTCGCGTCAATTCATCTCAATGACACGCAGCGAGATTGATCATCTGGATGAAAAACTCCATGGCAACCAGTCTAGTGACACAAGCCAAGACAATAACAGTGTTCTGTTCACCTGTGGGCATTACTATACAAAACAGAATTTCTTAGAGGAGGTGTTGGTCAAGTTTCAGCGAGAATTGTCACATGGCCCCGCTAGTTTACCCACCAGTGCCCAAGTCCTGGTGAAGTATTACAAGAGTAATGACCTTCTTCCTCTAGCCTGTCCTAAATGTGTTCTCAACTCCCTGCATTCTAGTGGGAATTAAAGGCAAAAATTCTCAACATTTTCAATAAAACTGTGATACACTGTATACAGGGAAATTTTCACCCCCACTTTATTTTTAGCCTCTTTTGCCTACTTACAGATGGGCAAATCTGAAACGGGGCGAATAAACAAAAACAAAGTATAATTTCTTAAACAAATTGTGATTGGGCGAATTTAAAATGGGGCAAAATTATTTGCAAGTGTGAAAAGGCAAAAATAACATAGGACAAAAATAACCCTGTATACAGTACTTCTGTAGAAAATGTAGCAATGATCCACTGCCATATCATCAAAATACATTTGACATTTTCTCAGAATATCAATTTGTGCAATAAAAGGGATATGTTGAAATTAGTTGGCAGTTCAAAGCTTTCATACATTTGTGTACATCTGAAATTTGACTTTTGGGACACTTGAATATGTCTTAGGATTTATGCTGGTCTCATCTATTTGAAAGTCAGTTCTGAGTGTAATCGCAATTAATGTTCTTGAAGGCACTCAACATTAAAAACTGTGCCATGTATGAGCCAAAAGTATGACTCTATATAATATTATTGTATGTAGAAACTATTTCAAAAATGTTACTGTCATTATGTGATTTTTATTCATTAGATGAAATAATGATACAGGTATTCCATATATATTAGGTAATAACTGAATTGTATACTTATAATTGGCAGTTTGTTCAAATTAATCATGCTTATATTTTTAATGTTTAGTCACATATCTCAGTTTTTGTGATTCAGTTGTTATATGAATTACTTTATTAAATTTAATGAATTGTTTATAAGAAATATGATATTTATGTCTAAAATTTTAATAAAAGAATATTTAAGTCTTAAATTATATTTGTCTTATTTGTCCAAAATCTAAGGGACTGTGCATTCTAAAATGATAAAAAGACAAACCACTAGAAAACCAAGCTGTGTTTATTGTTTATATAAATCTTGAAAAATCGCAAGTTCTCACTAGGATTGTGCAAATGTATAAAATGTAAATTTATAAACTTCTGTAGGAAAATTAAGCTTCTGATTGGAAGCTCTCCCAAAAGAGAAATGTTACTTAAAATAATTAAGAATTAATTTATAAGAGTACAAGAAAATATGTAAGTAATAAAAGTGAGTCTGAAAATTAGATGAAACATTTACACTGACACCCCCTTACTTTGCTAATGCCCTGTTCACACGGAGAGTTTAATTCGAATTAAACGTAATTTACTGCGAATTAAATTTGATCCGCGTTCACACAGGGCATATATTAGGGATATATTAGGGATGTCAAAATACGTATTTTCCTTAGTCGATTATTCGATTGCATTATTCGAACGATAGTCGAATATTCGGAACATTTTCTTATAATAAAATTTTATTTCAAACTTCACTGGTACATGACGTAATTATAACCCCAAAACCCTTTTACTTAAATCTGTGTAAAATTAACATTAATGCAACTTACAACGCGTGGATAGCATGATTAAATGAAATGAATTTAGACACCTAATTCCCCAAAATGTATGATTTCCCCGTCAATTGAATTCATAAATCGGTCTGTACATGCAGTCAGTTTTTATTTTAGCAAGATTAAAAATTTGCCAGCCGATATTTTTGAAAAATTTCTTATGAAATAATTTTTTTTTTTTTTTGGGGGGGGGGGGGGGGTAATCTCACACTATCCAGGAGTAAGATGCCTATGAAACTGTTAATTAAACAGTTAGATACTGCTTATTCAATTATTGATTGCTGCTATCAAAAAGTCCTTAAAACAGTTTAAATTATAAGCGAGTTGATAAAACAAGAAGTGTAAAAACATGTCACAGCTATGGTTTGTTCCTTGCATTTAAGCAATCTTTAATAACAAAAGATAATTGGTACATGGTATAAGATCAAGTCCAATTAATATTTTTACAAACAAAACCCAGTATATTGGTGGGTAATTTATTACTAAAACAACACAGGCCGTTAATGACCAAAAAATTCTCGAAGCTGTGTAGCACTTGTAATTACTGTACTTTTTTATACGTACATGGAAAATCAACCGTTTTTGTTGAGGAATTAAAATAACCTTATCACTGTCTCTGAGGAAGGTGGTTTCTCATTTTCTGATGAGAATTCCATCTCGTTATCACTCACTTATTGCATTTATTTAATTATAATAATATTCGAATGTCGTTTCATTATTCGATCGTCGGTCCATTCGACTGATAGTCGAATAGTCGACTATTCGTTGACATCCCTTATATATATATATATATATAAAGCACTAAAAATGACCAACGACAATAATAATTGTCAAATTTTCGGGACGACCTGTCCCTTCCTCAGGACAAAGAAAAAAGTTAAGAAGTCATAAAAACAAAGGAAATAGAGAAGCAAGAACAACTAGCACTATACTACTAAACTACCAAACACTAAATATTTACAATGTCACATGTTTAATTTGGAGTTTATAAACAGTTGTAAACAAAGAAATCCGGAGCGCTATGAATTGCGTCCGGTCTATCGGGTGTACTCTGGTGAAGAGTACCAGAGTACACCCGATAGACCGGACGCAATTTCATGTGGAATATGAAAACTTTAGCACCAACCTTTCAAAAGTTATGGCCAATGTTAAAGTTTTTTCAAAGTAATCAAAAAACTTCAAGGTCAATGGGCTGTAATTGTTGGTATCCAAAGGAAGGTCTTTTTACATGGAATACACATGTGAAGTATGAAAGCCTTGGCACCAAAAGTTTTTCAAAAGTAGGTCAAACTCCTAGGTCAAGGTCAAAGGGTCAACGTTGTTGGTATCCAAAGAAAGTTCTTGTAACAAGGACTACACATGTGAAGTATGAAAGCCCTAGTACCAACTGTTCAAAAGTTAAAGCCAAGGTTAAAGTTGGGTAAAATTTTGCAAAACTGGGTCAAACGCCAAGGTCAAGGTCAAATATGATGGTATGCAAAGAATGGTCTTGTCATGAGGAATACACATGTGAAATATAAAAGTCATAGCTGCAATCAATCAAAAGTTATGGGCAAGGTTAAAGTTTTGTGGAAAGACAGATAGACGGACGGACAGGGCAAAAACTCTATGTCCCCGAATCTTCGATTACGGGGGCATAAAACCACACTCTCTCAGTAGAATTCTACAAACTTATGTTAACTTTTTAAGGAAATTAAAGGTTTAAGCTTTCTAATGACAAAAGTGAAGATACTAATAAATAACAGTGATCAATAGGCAAGGAGATATGAAGAATATTTTATAACAGTATGAGGAAATATATGAATAATAATGGACCGTGAAATCAGATATGATACAATGATGTTATACAATTATATTCCCCTTCCAAACTCTCAGCAATCTTGGAAAATGACTGTATAGAAGAAGCAGCTTCTCCGCCAAATGGTATCTACATGTACATGCATGGAGTTCCCTGAGGAAGGAGATCTGATTATCAATAACATTTTTTTAGCAAGACGGACACAATGTATGAAAGCTCCCCCTTTTAAACTTTCAGATAATTCCACATAAATTGTGTAAAAAATTTTGTTTTTTGTTATTTTTTTAAATATCATTTTATTATTTCTAAACATGTTGAAGGTTTCCCATAAAATCTCCGCAAAGGTGTTCTTAACCGCTTCCAAAGGGACAACATTTTGAAAGATTTGAACGTGGTTAAAAAACAACAACAAAACTCGGTTTCATAACATCTATGCATGGAATACTTCTGGTCTTAAGATCATTAATAGAAAAGATTGAGACCATGCAAAATTTCAAATTTCAAACATGAAAAATAAAAATGAATCATATTTTTCAGCTGCTTACAAGTATGTGAATATTTTTATATATAAACTTCCCAACTTTTTTAAACGTTTATTCAATTCAGTTTATTGACAAAACCATACTACATTGGCATGTATCATAATAACACATTTTAACAACAAAATAATCTCAAAAATGCAGCTCATATTGCTTTAAAGGTACAACACATAATTATATGATCACAAACATTAATTATATGATCACAAACATTAATTTGTTATATAAAAATCAAGATACCGGTTACTTTAAAATCTAAATTTTGGCTTATTTCTGTTCTCAGTTTAATGCAGCTGCAGAACTGTAGCTCTCTGCTTGAGAAAATTCGGACTTTGTCCGAATTTTCTCAAGCAGAGAGCTACAGTTCTGCAGCTAAGTTTAATGGTCTTTGGCCCGCGGACTTGTGATCCGATCCTTTTGAGCTAAAAAGATAACTCATGCAATCCTCTTTTAGGTAAATCTTCAGGCAATATTTGCACCTGGGAAGGACCGTGCAAATTAAGTATATGATGGTGCCCGGACAGGTACTTTTGGGAGCATTCATTAGGTGAAACAGGCAATTTTTCATAACAACAATGTAGATGAGGCATTCATATTTTCCCTCCTATTCATATTCCCCCTTTAAAATTAAAACAAAAATTATTTGTTCTACAAGTTAACACAAAAATATTTAACTACTTTCTTTTGACTGTCTTGTTCTGAATTGTCATAAGATGACACTTAAGAAAAAGTGAGGCCTTTTAAAAATATTTATATTGAATTTTAATACTCTAGCGCCTGAATTAAGGCATTTTACAGGCCGGTTTCTGGGTTTTAAATTTTGCGTAAAGTCTTAAGATGTCGTCTTTGTGTTAAAACTAACTGGAAGATTATATCTTGGCGTCTAAACAAATGCAGAGACACCAGAGGCTTTGTTTAGATAAAGTTGTACATGTACATATCAACTCCTATAGAGTCATCACTTTCCATGACCCTTTAACAGCACGGGTGGTTTAACTAATTGGGATAAAAAAAAAATTAAAAGATTAAAAATTAAAAAACAAAATAACATTGAAATTTAAAAAATCAAATAACATGTTGTATATATAAGAAACGCCGTAATTAACAAATACGATTGACTTGTAAAACGATGTATTTTATTCGAGTGTATACGATTTTTTCAAAGCAGAGAGTAATCTAACAATGTGATATTGATACCGAATGTAACGACATGTCATATTGAAAATAACTCTCTAAAAATTGACGTGAACCAAAGGAGTTTTCTGTTTTGAAGTATAACTTCAAAGGTTATTATTCAAAATATATTACCAATGTTAAATTCATTAAAAAAAAAAGTGGGTCAAAGTTCAAGGTCGTTGTCATGAGGTCAAAAATCATGTGCATGGTATACATTCGAAAAGGTCTTGTCACAGGTAAAGCACATGTGACATATGGAAGGCCCATCTTCTCTCAGTCCAAAGGTATGACCACGGTGAAAGTTTTTGTAACTGACAGACGGACGGACAGACACATGAGATTTTATGTTCCCGCGCTTTTGCTAAAGCTGGGGACAATAATTTAATAAGATTTCACACCTAAATCACCAGTATGATTAACAATTACGTAATTTGGAAATCGGAAGTATTTGATTAAGTTTTTCATGGCAACGAAATATAATGAATTCATAAAATATGCAAACTCACTGACTTGGATGAGTTACAAATAAATTCAGAGAAATATGGTCTCTCTATTTCGGGGTCTTATCGGTTGGGGTGCAATGAACCAATTGGCAAATTGTACATGTATAGCTGTCTTGTCTGGCTTATATTATCTGTCCGTCATGCTACACAGAAGTTTCATATTTTTTAAGTAATATGCCCTGATGCAATTGTTACAGCCAAGTTCATTTTTTTAAAGTATAGGTCAAATTTCAAGGTTATGAATTTTAAGTAAAAATCACAGTACGTTTGGAAAGATCTTGACACAGGTAGTGCACGTGTAAACGCATGAAAACCCTGTTTTTTTTCAAGTACGAAAGCTACTACATAGGTTTCAATATTTGAAAAGTAGATTAAACTTCAAGGTAAAAAACAATGGAACATTCAAAAAGGTACATTAATTTCGATATGGCACTGAGCGATAATTCGGAAAAATCAAAAATACCACGAAAACACATGACGGAATGGTAATGTTTTCCTGCGTGGCGCAGTGGTTAGAGCCGTTTGCTCTATAGAGTCGCGGAGTAAGTAGATGGTCCTTACGTCGCGGGTTCGAATCCCACTGTGGGATGTGGAGACCGGTCCTATAAACCGATATCCCGTGTCGCAGTAGGTGCTGGCACGAAAAAGATCCCTCACTGCTCAATTGCCCTAAGTGCCGAGTATAGGTCAAAATTTGAAGCTCTCCGCCGGCAAGTGGTGGCGTCTTCATATGAGTAAAAAATTCTCGAGAGGGACGTTAAACAACAATAAACAAACAAACAAAAACATAAAAACAAATATCTGAATTGCATGTTAACGTAAATAAGTTGCATGTTGAATTTTAGATTATATACGTCAATATATTCTCAACAGCAGCGTACCCAAAGAAACATGAAGACTGAAGCAAACGCGCGTAGTCAAAAATCTATTTTTTTAACTGACGGGTACAAAATAAATAACAATAGAATTTTCAGAAAGATTTTGAAATATGCAGTATTGCATACCCTACCTTTCGTGGTTCATAGATAAAAGCTAAAGGAAATTTTGTATTAACTGCCACCCGGTAAATTCAAAATTTACAACATGACAAATGATTGCACTTATAGTGTATAAAAATGTTCGATGCTAGATACCTTTTATACCCAAAGAATCCTGACAAAAAGAACACGTTTAAATTCAAATGCATGGTGAGTAACTATAGTATTTTTGAAACCTATAAAACCAAACATTAAATTAATTTCCTATATCGGTTATAGTGACTTAAGATATTTTTAAAAGAAGTTTGAAATAAAAAAACAGACAATTAAAGACCGACATTAAAAATAAAAACAAAAATATTGCAGTGGACACAAAATTCCATGGCCCATTTAGAAAATTATCATGTCATCCCTTCCCAAAACCTCAATAAATCTGATACCTAGGTTATTGCTTTCTGAGTTCAGTACGTGTCAACACTATCACACTCACGCAGCAAAATTATCGATCTCTGACAATGGAATGAACAGTGAACACACTACTGAATCTATAAGTAGTCTATACTGAATTAAAAGGTTTAACACCGAATCTATTACATAACGATCTAGGGAAATAGAGTTTTTATAAAAAGCTGACCCGAAACAGGACCACACAATAGCTAGACGTGAGATAACCAGAGGGTAGTGGATTCTCAATACATGACTGCGCAGACGCCATTAACAGTCCAAGGAATGAAGGATATTGATGTTCACATTCGCAGCAAATGTATGTTTGTCTTTGAATTTTGATTCTTGAAAACTACGGATCCCAAAAATGGCTAGATATGCGCAATATTTGTAAACAGAGCCTTCCCGCCATGACAATATGGACTTTTAACTGCAGTTCGTGTTAATCCAGGGCATAGGGCGGAAAGTGAATAGACTTTCTACTGGTGGATTTTCGATCTATTATATACTCGTAAGTATTGTTAGATTATCCTGCATGGGGTCCCCCTCTTCCTCGTACAAAAACAAAATAATAATGATAAATAAATTAAAATAAATACCTAAAGGTTTCATGATTGGAATTAATCAATAGTGATTTCACAATCAAGACCAGGTATTTATGTACTTAAACATGTTATACATAATGGTCCCAGGTGTTTTTAAGGAATGAAGAAACTGAAATGTATCCTAAAAATATTTAGAGAAATATATTTTGCTCTTTAAGATATACCAAACTTTGCACAAATAGTACAGCTAGTTTTAATAATATTACTTCATTATTGAGTATTCAAAGGAAATTTCAGTATAAAAAAGGGATATTGTGGTGTTGTCATACCATGTATAAACTTTTTTAAGGACACATTTCTTGTATAAACAGAATAAGCAGCGATAATTATTAACCGTCTTAGATACTAACGATTTCTGATTTGTAACGTTGCCGATATCAACTTTTTTTTATATTTGCCCTTTCTTTGTTCCACTGCGAAATAACTGGACATTAGGCGTGGGTAAATATTGATCGAATACTTGTTCAACCGAGGAAACATTCACCCCCCCCCCCCCCCCCGCCTTTATCCCAATCACCTTGTAAGGTGTGTAATCCTAGAAACAGAAGAAATGTTTAAGAATATGCACCTTCCTTCATGTTGACCTTATTGTAAAGCGATCGTTTGTTCACTGCGGAGAGACAAGGTTATGTTTACTTACGGATTATTTTTCGGATTATTTACATAGGGTAACCTTAATGTAAACACCCATCGTACGCCATTACTACAACTAAACTACATGTAGCTAGCCATCTTTATTTTGGACGATGACTCTGACATATATAAAGGTGGTTCATTTGAAGCAATTTGACTCTTTATAACTTTTCCTGATACCAATTAATTTATTTATCTACAAAATTTCGACCGACCTTATTGTTTAAAAATTTTATTTAACGTCAAAATCTATTTGATACATTTTTCTTACGATAAGCTTTACGAGTTCTAATTGACCATTGGCACCTATGACGTTTCTATGAAAATATCTATAGAAACAGCGAGAACAAAAATTTTGACAATAAATTCAAAGATTTAGTAATCTCAGAATACATGCGCAATAAGGCAGAGTGCGGCAACTCCGATAACTCTATCGCGATAAAAACCCTTTAAAGATGATATTGACGATGAACTGTAGAACACAGACACTTGACGTTTTAAATTCTCTGTATTGATAAAAAAAAATTCCCATACTTTAGTTATAGTAAGTTTTAGTAAGTTTTTTTTATCAATAAATAGAAATATCTAAAACGTCAAGTACCTGGACTATATTAGAAAAGCAATACATACTGAGCAACCCATTAACGGTTAAACATTTCTAGACTACATATAGTTAAACAATAAACATGCAAAACAACAAAGATTAACAGTCAGAAATCTCTTATGTAATACTGCCAGTTAAGCCATTGCATTGAATTTGAATGTACAAATTGCAGTCTTGCTTAACAAAAAAATATAAAAGTTGCATTGTAGTTATTTCCTATACACTTTGGAGCTCTTTAATGGTCTAGTTCTTGATTTTAAGTAGATTAGTTATTGCGTAATGACTTAAACACCACCAGACAGGACATGTTTGATAAAAAGTTCCATTTCAAAATGAAATCCTCAATCACACCTAAAATTGGTATGGCACACCAGATTCACAAAAAATCAACAGTATACATGGTGTTATAGGTTTGTTAGTTATATAAGAAATACATGTAGTTTACAGTGTGTTAGATACAGAAACTCACTTTAAAATAGTCGCCGTCTGCATGGTCTGTTCAATTACATTTAATTAAGATTGTAAGCTATATATATTGAGAATCAAGTTTTTACCTTTTTGAGTATTTGGGTTATTTTGTTGACTACTAAGTGTATGAATTCCTGTTTTTAAACCATAATAATATTAGCATTTGCTTATTATGACTAAAATAAGTCAATCATAGTTATACAAACCGGTCAGATAACCCATGGTTTACATCTGTAAATTATTTGGGTTGCCAATTAAAGTTAAGTCTAATTAAGATTCTGTTCTTGGTGTCCTTAATTTCCAGAAACAAACACCTCATATAGGTAAGAATTACATGTATATTATAAAGAACATTGTCCCATTACTATATCAGGACTGGTATTCTGTATTGATATATACATTTATTGTTTCTCTGCAGAACACAAAATAGATTTATAAACTAGTTTTAACACTGTGGGCTACGTATGTATCAACGCTGTAACCCTTTTAGCTCACCTGAGCCGAAGGCTCAAGTGAGCTTTTCTGATCACTTTTTGTCCGGCGTCCGTCTGTCTATCTATCCGTCTGTCTGTAAACTTTTAAAATTTTCGACTTCTTCTCAAGAACCACTAAACCAATTTCAACCAAACTTACCACAAAGTATCCTTGGGTGAAGGGGATTCAAGTTTGTTCAAATGAAGGGCCACGCCCTCTTTCAAGGGGAGATAATAAAGAATTAGTGAAAAATTAATAGCATCTTTTAAAAATCGTCTTCTCATGAACCACAGGGCCAGGAAAGATGAAACTCATGTGGAAGAATTCTCAGGTAGTGTAGATTTAAATTTGTTCAAATTATGACCCCAGGGGGTAGGGCGGGGCCACAATGGAGGATCAAAGTTTTACATAGAAATATATAGGAAAAATCTTTAAAAAATTTCTTCTCAAGAACAATAAAGCCATGATGAGTCATATTTATATGAAAGCATCATCAGGTAGTGTAGATTTAAGTTTGTACAAATCATGCCCCTTGGGGGTAGGGCGGGGCCACAATGGAGGATCAAAGTTTTACTTTGAAATGTAAAGGTAAAAACTATAAAAATCTTCTTCTCAGGAACAGTAAAGCCCTGATTGCTCATATTCATATGGAAGCATCCTCAGGTATGTGTAGATTCATATTTATTCAAATCATGACCCTCAGGGGTAGGGTGGGGCCACAATGGAGGATCAAAGTTTTACATAGACATATATAGGAATTTTTTTTTTAAATCTTCTTCTCAGGAACAGCAAAGCCCTGATTGATCATATTTACGTGGAAGCATCCTCAGGTAGTATATTCTATTTTGTTCAAATCATGACCCCCTGGGTAGGGTGGGGCCACAATGGAGGATCAAAGTCTTAAATAGAAATATATAGAAAAATATCTTCTTCTGAAGAACAGCAAAGCCATTATTAGTCATTTTGATATGGAAGCATCCTCAGGTATTGTAGATTCAAGTTTGTTAAAATGATTACCCTGGGGATAGGGTCGAACCACAATGGGGGATCGAAAATTTTACATAGGAAAACATATAGAAAAATATCTTCTTCTCAAGAACTGAAAATCATGTTTAGTCATTTTGATATGGAAGCATCCTCAGGTAGTGTAAATTCAATTTTGTTCAAATGATGACCCCCGGGGGTAGGGTGGGGCCCAATGGGGGATCGAAAGTTTTACATAAGAACATATAGAAAAAATATTTCTTCTCAAGAACAGAAAAGCTATGTGTAGTCATATTGATATGGAAGCATCCTCATGTAGTTTAGATTCAAGTTTGTTCAAATGATGACCCGGCCCTGGGATAGGGAGGAGGCACAATGGGGGATCAATTTAACAAAGGAATATATGGGAATTTTTTTTAAAAAATCTTCTCAAGTACAACAAAGCCATTTGTTATATTGACATGGAAGCATAATCAGGTAGTTTAAAATTCACCCCCCCCCCTCCCCGGTAATCTTTTCAATACTGAACTGATTTGTGCTCTTGCCTAGCCAATGTGCTCAGGTGAGCGATGTGGCCCATGGGCCTCTTGTTTTTTTAAGGCAATCAAAGTGACTTAATAAAAATTATCCAAGCTTGATATATGATGTATTTATTTTATCTTCTTTTTAAACAGGGAAAGGGGGACCTGTCATTCTCCCCTAGGAACAGGAAAAACATTCAATAACAACAGCGTAATGATAATATTAATCATTGTTGCTTACTTGAATGGGGAAAACTCATGCAAATATATATTAGTCAAATACAAAGTTGAGAATATTTAAATTGGCTGCAAATTGCGTAATTCCTTTTTTTGTTCAGTTTATTTTATTTTTAAATCAAAAACCATAAATATTTTAACTAGATAACTATGAATATAATATAAATGGATTGATAAATGGGGTTTCATGAGAAGTTCAGTTAATGTAAATATTAGTAAATATTGCTAATTGCTGATTGATCATTTGTGTTACTAGTGTGCAATTTAAACAATATTTTATTCACAAAATGAGGGATTGGCCATCATGGGCAGTAGGCACTTCTTCTCCGTACAACTGAATAATACACACATAAAGGAAACAAGGCAATATATAGAAAAAAGGAGAGAAGAAAAAGATAATACACACATAAAGGAAACAAGGCAATATATAGAAAAAAAAGGAGAGAAGAAAAGATAATACACACATAAAGGAAACAAGGCAATATATAGAAAAAAGGAGAGAAGAAAAAGAATGAATACAGAGAAGGAGAGATTTGGAAATACTTACAAAAATTACTTAATGTTACTATATATAAGCATGTACTGCTTCAGCTATCAGAGTACCGTTATCAATTCTGTTACATATGACAGGCTTAACGAGTCTTTGACTCAAGCTGCATTATATACGTATTTGTTTTGTTTTGTTTTATTTGAACCAGAGACATTACATCTCATAGGTATACAAAATATGTACATAAATATTTATACATAAGCTTTGCACAGGATAAGTGTAGTATATGCTATACAATATACATTACATGTGGCAATTACATAAACAATAGCATTTAATGTATTATCACTTCTTATTGTACACTATTTAAAACATCATTTCTTAATTGATAAGAAAAATACAGAAATTTACCTAGGTTACATAGTTCTTTAGTATTTGTGGAACTCAGTAACTGTACTAATTTAAAAACTGATGGTTTTTTAAAATAATAACGCT